TTCAAAATCGTATTAATGAAGTTTTTGTACTGATGATGGAGCTGGACTCCGATAAGTTTTCACTGCAGAAAAATGATTTTTTGGCGTTTTATTTGATTTAAATGCTTAGTTCTTATGACAAGTTGCAACGAATCCGTCATTTCCTAATCTAGAGTAGAGTTGACTTTGCATATAAATTTAAAAACAACCCGCACTTTATGCGGGTTGGACACTATGACAATTTGACATTTTGACATTTGACAAAAAACTATGACAATTTGGAATTTTGGAATTTATGCAGAATTTGTCACAAATTTTCATAAAACATCGAACGAGTATAAATGCAATGACCAAACCTTAATTACTGCATTTCTTTTAACAATAATAAATGCTCTGTGAGTCCGACTGAGAAAGTCTAATTCTCAGCTCGGATTTTTTTTTTGTAGAAGGCCGTAGACTGATTTTCGGATAGATAAAACATAGAATAAATTTTTATCTAAATGCATTACCTAAATATTGATCGAAAACAGGGCTAAATAGTTTCCACGCTGATTAAAATGATTTGATGCGCTATACTGATTTTTAAAATGTGTTCTAAATTCATGTAATGAGCACTTTTTGCCCTCATGTGATTGTGCCCTCATTTTGATGGTGACTTCGAATCTTAATTCCGCACCAAAGGATGGGCAACTCAGACGTCGTCCACCGCATGTAGATTGGGTCTCTATAAACAAAATTGGAGCGCTGCCGTAGCCCAAAAATTTGACTCTTAAATCAGCCCAAAAGCCAATGCCAACCCTCTACATGCAATAGAAATAGTTAGTCTAATACCTATGCAGCTGTTCTTACTTGCCTCATCTCGCCACACCAGCTTGAACAAGCAATGCCTCATAGGCTCATCCCACAAACTGATACTACAAACGGATTACGCCCAAGCCCAATAGCTCCTACACCAATGATTTAAGCCCATACCATCACTTCTTACAAATGCCGTAAGCCACAGGGTCCGCAGACCGCACTGGACTGTCACATCACCTTACCCACTTCGCAGGCGTAAGCCCAGCCCTAATGCTCACCAGCATCTTCTACCTCCACACTTACCCCATTCTCTCCACCTTTCCGCGATACCGCGAAGGGGTTAGGTTAGGTTNGCTCACCTTCTTCAGAAGTGTGAAAGCTTTTGCCGGTGAAGGTGTGTTTTACGATTGGTCCATAAAGAAGTGTTGATCGGTTCAAAATGACATAAGAACAGGTTCTTTTGAATAACCTATGGATTGGCAACATGCATGTTGGCTAATTTGCTCTGCAGCATGCTTGCGCACGGGGTGAAGTATGAAAATTATGCTGGTATTGGCAATGCTGGGTTATTTCAGTCATCCCAACAAAATTAGCGGAGCCTCGCATACACGACATTCACCAGATGCAAACGATCAGTCACATGCAGGCTATATCAATCACACAGGTCATTTTTTCATCACAAGAAAACGATCACTTATTTGCCACATGCGACCGATCACTTGTTCGCCACATGCAACTGATCACTTATTCGCCACATGCACACGATTAATTGTTCGCCATCACATACGATTAATTATTCGCCACGGGCAAGCGATCACTTATTCGCCACATGCACACGACTAATTATTCGCCATATACATACGATCAATTATTCGCCACGTGCGAGTGATCACTTATTCGCCATGTGCACATGATTTGTTATTCGCCATATATATACAATTGACTATTTGCCTCCTGCAAACAATCAATTATTCGACGCAATCGATCAATTATTCGATTGATCACCAGTCAATCACATATTTGCCATATTAATATACAAACGTACACGTATAACGATCATTTATCCGTCACTCAGGAACAACAGCAAAAATGCACTGGGAAAAACTGGTAACCCAGTCTGCTTTTCTTACAAGTTTAACTTTGATTACATGGGTATGAAAAAATCTAAAAAAAAAATTTATTTCTGAAAGGGTGACTGTTTTTTTTTTTTGCACTGATTTCATTTTGGGTCACGATAACTTTAATTAATGCCTTGAAAGGGCATTAATTTGAATTGAACTCTCATGTTATATTTAATTAAATTTCTATAGCACTTCACTTCCCACCACAATATTGATGATTTTTTTTATTATTTTTAACGACGTCAATATTTTAATCTCTCCGTTTCCATGTTATGCGATTTATAAAGTGCACATCCAGCACTAGTATTAGTGCGCATCAAAATTTGTTAGAAACAAGAAAATAGCTAAATATTTTTAATCATAAGGTGTTAGACAATAATTTACTAACAATAATCGACGTGTCAAGTGTTCATGGAATGAAATCACGCAGGAAAACAGTGTATAACAGCACCATTGCCTGCCTATTATTTGTTAGAGTGAAATTTTTACGGGAAAATTGTAGCAGAAGTATTTCCGTTCATTTGATTTTGGCGCTGTTAAAAGGCCTTTTTTCGAATGACATTGCCAATCATTATTCATTAAAATTGAGTCCCAGCAATCATTAGACGTCGACTCAACGTCATCGGTCATTAAAGACATTACAACGTAACCAGCCACCAATCGACGATGTTACAGCGTTAGTGGCGCGGTGGGGGTGGACGGATCTGCCTAACTCAGCTAACTGGAGCGCTCTTCTTGTACAGACCGAGGAACTGAGGAAGAATATTGTAAATACAATGTATATATAGTTCCAGTTATACAAGCATATACAGTATTATATACAAGCATTGTACTATAGTTCCAGTTGCAGCTTGTATAGTAAAATCCAGTTGCAGCTTGTAGCGTAGCTAAATGTTTCCCCCACGGCCCCACTTAACCAATCTGGAATATTGGGCAGAATGCAGAAGTTTCCTAAAATTGTAGAGAAAAACAATTGTTTACCAGATGATTTAAAAATATTGCAGGTTAAAATAGGCAATTTGGCTCATTTTTCATTTAAGAAATTGGAAGCAAATAAGATGGGTAGGCCTACCGTAAAATGGGGTAACTTTGACCACTTTTTTTTTCAAAATGATGCCATTTTTTTACTAGATAAGTTAAACTTAAATTGAAACATGCAAAATACAGGTCTATACTCAAGCTTTACTCACCATAAATTGCTGGCTGAGGCTCCTGCCTTCCATAGTTTTGATGTAATTTAAAAAAAAGTGATGGTCTTTGTTACCCCAGCTCATGGGGTTTCCTTGACCGGGTGGTAAAATCAATTTTATTTTTTAGTAAAATAACTCCAAATAACACCAGGTTGTGGTGCATTGTAGTAGAACTCTTCTAGTTACATATGCAAAAGACAAATTTTAGGAAAGTGTCATAGTTTGCAAATGGGGGGCACCGCCCCGGCCCCAAATGGGCAAAATGTGACCATCTAATGGCAGCCGTGACAGGGTAACATAGACCGGTTTGGAAATTAAGTTAAAATGACCATATATAAGACTCTGTAGAGTCTGAAACATAAAGAAAAAAAACATTAATAGGTGTATCAAATAGTCAAACATAAAATATGTTATATAGGTACCTATGGTAATTTTAACTTAATTTCCAAGCCGGTCAATGTTACCCCATCACGGCTGCCATTAGGTGGTCAAAGTTACCCCATTGGGGGGTGGTGCCCTCCATTTGCAAACCATGACACTTTTCTAAAATTTGTCTTTTGCATATGTAACTAGAAGAGTTCTACTACAATGCATCAAAACCTGGAGTTATTTTACCAAAAAATAAAAAAAAATTTGAGGGGGTACTCCGACAGGCTTTAAATAATAGCTCTTTTTTCGTGGGTCACATTTTAAATTTTTTAACCTATTAGATATGCAAACTTTTTAAATCTTTCTATTGTGTTACGTAGCCTCAGTATTAGGCCTTTGATGGCCATTGACAAAATTTTTCTATGTTGAATCGTTTTTGAGTTTTGGGGGTTTTTGTTAAAAAAACAAAAAGTGGTCAAAGTTACCCCGCCGGTCAAAGTAACCCCATTTTACAGTAATTCTAAATAGGTAGGTAAATTCTATAATATATAATATATTGTCTTATATTATATATTATAGTGTCTAATAATAATATATATTATTATTATTAGGTGGCAGGATTTACTTGTTTACACACATGCGATTGATGACCAGAGAATTTGTTAGTTTATATTATCACTATCAGGGAGTGGAAGTTTTCAGATGACGGTAGATGAAAAGGCAAGTTTCAGGAAGTAGTTTTTCTTTATTAATGACATTTTGAATGCAACAAACATTCATTTTCAAGTCAGAAAACAGATAGCTAGAGTCAAATCTGTAGAGATGAGGGGATCAGCTATCGCTGGTTGGTTGTTGTCACACCACTGCATGATCACAATGCTGGTGAGTACGTTCAGCACAATGCAAGTGACGGTCTGGTTGTAAGCTTGTCTTGCGTGGTTCACCTGCCCTCCAGTTTGAAGGTAGCTAACAAAACCGGCTTGGTGTCTTGATTGTTAGTCCAATCTGTCTGATGTTGTCTAAAACATGAAGAAGTCTACAGCCTTCTTTGAAGCAAAATTCATAAACCACACCAGCCTCTCGGATAACTCCCGCATTTTTTGCAGGGGCCATTGTTGCGTTTAGTTTGGAATTTGACATGGTTGTCAAGAGTGTAACAAAGCTTGTTAAATTCATTGACGATTTTGAGATGAACTTGCTTGTTAATAATGCTTTGAGACCTGGTATGGTAGTGAGCTTGTCTCTGGTGGTAGGAGAAGCGGCAGTTCAATGTCGCAGTTGTCACTCCAAAAACTTCAATGTAATCCATAACGCAAAGAAGTCTACAACCTTCTTTGAAGTAAAATTTATAGAATACACCGGCCTCTTGGAGAACTCTTGCTTTTTTGCAGGAGCCGTTGTTCGGTATAGTCCGGGGTTTGACTTTGTTGCCAAGAGTGTCACGGAGCCAGTCGAATTCATCTAACTAACTAATTCTCTGGTCTTCAATCGCACATGTGTAATATATATATATATATATATTTAATTCATGTTTATTTGTCATTTAGGTGCTATATAGTAAATAATTCCATCATTGGAGGAGCAGAGGCTGAAAAGATATTTTAAAATGGAAGGAAGTTCAGAAACAGCTGCTCAATTTGAAGATGTCTCACTGAAAGACATCAAAACAAATGAAAAAGTCAAAATTTACCCAACATTTGAAAGTATGGGTTTGAAGAAAGAAATCCTACAGGGAATATATGCTTATGGTGAGTATAATAAAATTAATATGGTAAGAGCCTTAGTTAACTAGAACATGCAAGATGTGGCTTCAAAAATAAGTTTTCCCTACTGCATGTTTGCAGAATCATACACTTGCTATTAGTTGATACATGATGTGTTAGAATTTTTAACATATTTGCATTTGATAACAATCCAAGATTTGAAGAACACTTCCAAGTTTGAGTGACAATTTTTGTCACTCACTCTTGTTGATATTGTTGACTAATCTAGCACTTCCAATTTCAAAATTTGTGTTTATTTTCCTCTAGTTCATTATTTTTTCAATTATAATTTTATTTTCATATTACTCATTCTCTGACTTATGCATTTCCATTTATTGCCATTAAACAAGCCATAGAAAAGTACACAAGAGGTCTGACTATTTTTAAATTATATAACCTAATGTTTTCCATATAAGCTGGGGAAAAAATATGGATATAACTTCACAGCTGCTCAATAGTCTTCTGCCAAGCCTGTCTTGTGTCCTCTATTGTATACATGGAATGCAACTCTGATTCATTGTAACTATTGTCCACAACAGGCTCGTAAATTTATGGTTTGTGTAAAACATTGTTTTCATCTATAACTGCAATCTTCATGTTAGATTGATGACTTTGAATCCAAATATATATTTTTTTAAATTTCCATTAACAGCTTTTATTTTTGCAGGATTTAGAAAACCATCTGCTATTCAGCAGCACTGTATAGTGCCTCTGATTGGAGGCTATGACTTGATAGCCCAGGCTCAGTCAGGCACTGGCAAGACAGCCACCTACAGCATAGCTCTACTCCAGGTGCTCAGATCGAGATCAAGAGAAACACAGGCCATTATTTTGTCTCCCACCAGAGAACTAGCATCTCAAATCCAGAAGGTCAGGTTCAAAACACTGTATTCTGAAATTTGCTGCAGGGGGATTAAATTATTTATGACTGCTCATAGAAATATCGTCCGTTACACATTCAAAATACTGCTGATGAAATTCAAGTTAGAATTTACTGTTGTTGACCCTCAAGGGGGACTTCTGATGGTGTCTGTGCTCGTCAGAAGTCCTATGGGATTTCACTCTCCTAGGGAGATTGTTCCTGAGCTCCCCACCGCTGGGCTCACGGTGTCTGACTGCGGGTCTCAGTTGTGTTGTCAAGTTATTATGTAGGTAGGATTCCTTACAATTTCCTTCTCTGTCTCTCTCGTGCAGGCAGCCAACATCCCATGTAAGCGACCTCTTGTTTGAGTGTCTTAGTTTCTGTTGCTTTTCACCTGTCCGTCCTTGTCACTTCGTCTCTTTGAGATGCTAACGCTGTTTCCTTCGAGCCAGCTTCAGCGGGCTGGACAATTGAGACCTTCCGCCTCTTGTGGGCGATGATTAATTTGAGATATTGAATAACTGAGACCTTCCGCCTTGCTGGCGATGCTATATTTTGACCTCCGGTGCAAAATAGCTTAATAGCTGAAGCGCTAGCAAACTATTATACTACCGCTACTACTATTGTTGAGAGGAACACATGCTTATTCTAATTTCAACAAGTTTAGTCTTACTACCTACATAGACCAGTTTTGCAGCTGTTTCACAGCAACACATTTTCAATTATAACCGTTATATATTCTGGAAATATGAGGATGGCAGGGTGCATACCGGTCATGGAAAACCTGGAAAGTCATGGAAATTGATTTTTCATTTTCCAGACCTGGAAAGTCATGGGATTTCATTTCATGTCATGGAAAGTCATGGAACAAAAGGCATTTTGATTTCCCTCAATAAGGTTGATTTTGGTTGGTTACATGGACAGGACCGCAATAAAAACAAGCTTGCAGACAAGAAGGCGAGTGCACTGCAAGTTCTCATTTTCAAGACACGAGTGCCGGACTTCATGCAGGCTGTAGTCTAAAAGCTACTGGACATGAGCCCTATCAGGTATGTCCTTGGTAAGAACCTGAGATGGCCATGGTGCCAAAAGTCATCATCAAGAAGGACTGGAAGGAAGCCCACAAGACATGTTTGAAGAACCGTCTCACTTTGCTTGTTGTTGCCAAGAGATTCCCTAACACAGATGTGGATGGTGTTGTGAGATGAGATGTGCAACTTTAGACATTGAATGGCCCAAATGAGGGCGGATGAATGATCCATCGTGGCCTGGGACTGCTATGTCCCAAACAAATACTAAGGATACTAAGGAATCACAACATTGCAGTGAACTGAATGCACAGTTTCAAGCATTTTCAACTTATAATCAACTGGACACTTTTGGCATGCCATCCTGTCAAAGAGCACCTAAAAGAAGCTCTGGAATGTAGTGCACATGCTCATGCTCCTGTCTCATGGCCAAGCCACGGTTGAAAGAGGGTTTTCATTCAAATAGGAAATCATGACACACAACATGGAAGAGCAAACGGTGGTTGACCTGCATGCTGTGCTTGATCATGTTGCACATGTTAAAAAAAGGTGGTTTTTAAAAGTTTTTTATTTGTTTTATTTCACTATTTTTAGTTTTGTAAAAACCAGAAAAACGTGTTTTTTCTGGTTCATGGCACAATACAAATTAATTCTAGGGTTGGCAAGTGTGGATGTTCAAGAAAAAACTCAATTCCAAACCGTGAATTTTTGGTGTTTTTTTTTTACTTTTTTTTATTTTTTTCAGAAAAAAACTATTTTTTAATTATTATTTCTGATGATCAAATCTTGAATTGTTAGGCAGCATAAACATGCATGCCAAATTTAAATTTACTAGGATGTTTAGAAGTACTCTAAATTAAGGTTTGAATTTTCGATGACAGACGGACATGAAATGAAGTCAAGAAAAACATGGTAAAAAGGCGTACGGAGGAGGGCATCAAGGCGCTTGAGCAAGCAGCAGATGAATATGCAGAAACAATGGATTGAAATGGGGATTCGAAAATTATTGCCAAGTTCAACATCATGAAGCAATCTTTGAAAACAAAGCTTCACACTCTTGAACTGAACATTAAAGAAATAGTTGATGAAATAGCCGCCAGTTGAATTTTAGGATAGTGGTGTTGAAGAGTATTCTGAACTGTATTAACATTATCATGTACAATCCTGTGTGCATTACTCAATATTTGTTGTGACTTGACATTACTGAATTCATAATAATACCAGTGTGGGCTTGATTTTCAGATATGTGTCATTTTTGTTCCTCAGTGTCTGCTTGCTCTATGCATTAATTGCATTTACACATTTACTATTTATCAACTGTAGGAGATGACAGAATATGCACAATTAGTCTTTCAGTAATACTAAACCTGTCTTATATGAGTCTTGGAAAATTATACCTATTGATGGTCATGGAGAGTCATGGAAAAGTCATGGAATTTTTTCTAAATACCAGCATGCACCCTGGGATCAGTGGGATGGACTTATTTATTTCAAGTTTCATATGCTCAAATATGTACAATACATGCATATTATACCTAAATGGTATTATTTCATGTTCTTTTCACTTCTGATTTTCTAGTTTTTGTTGTATTGATTTCATTTGACATCACGGCAAAAATTTAAAGATAGGTAATTAATATTATCTTACTAATGAAAGTGTACAACCAATGTGCAGGTAGTTCAGTCCCTGGGAGACTTTATGTCAGTGCAGTGCCATGCTTGCATTGGAGGCACCAACTCTGCACATGACATCAAGAAGCTCCAGCTTGGCCAGCAGGTTGTTTCTGGCACTCCTGGACGAGTGCTTGACATGATCAAGCGGACTAAACTTAAAACTAAAGCAATTAAGGTAAGCTTATGAATTTTTTCAGGTTGAAGGCTTTAATGAAAAATTTTAAATGGTAAATTGCCTTTCATAGTAATGGTGGTTGCAGATATTGAATGCAGATGTAGAAGGTAAAATGTAATTACAAATTTCTCTACTTGCAGTTGCTGATATTGGATGAGGCTGATGAGATGTTACAACATGGTTTCAAGAAACAAATCTATGGTGTTTACAGATATTTGCCTGCTGAGGTTCAGGTAAGTTCTGCCCTGTAAACAAGTCTTTTTAGAATTATTTGACAATGAAAACTTGGATTTACTCTGAATTTAATTCAATTTATATTTCATCACGAAAGCCTAAGCATTCATAACTGCAGATGAAATCACCATTGGACTTTATGTAATCTTTAGGAAAGTTAAAAAATCTAAAACAAAATGTTTCAAATCAGGTGTCTATAAGTTCAGATGCAGAGTGTTCAGTAGTGCACTATTTCTGTGCAGAATAAAATTAGTAGGTAACCATTTTCAAAATTAGCTATACACTTCCTCTGACACGAATAATACAAAGATGATTTTAACAATGATGAGTGATAATGATTGGTAGTTAATGGTGTTATTAGGTGGCTGTGGTCTCGGCTACTCTGCCGGAAGAAGTGTTGGAAATGACCTCAAACTTCATGGCTGATCCTGTCAAAATTCTTGTGCCAAGGTATGACACTTTTGTTCCTTATTCTACACTATTTTATCTGTTTAGACTTTTTCAGCTCAATAATTGAATGAGTACTTGAAATTTATATATCACAAAACTGACAATACAAAATCTCCACAAGTGTTAGAATTTATATGAAATTTACATCTAAGTGAAGTGTTAAATTTACGTTGATCTGAAATTTTTTGAAAACTTTTCATTATGATCATGTGTGTAGGGATGAGCTCTCACTGGAAGGCATCCAGCAATACACTGTTCCTGTAGAGAAGGAGCATTGGAAATTCGACGCACTCTGTGACATGTATGATAAAATCCTTGTGAAACAAGCCATCATATTCTGCAACTCGCGGAAAAAGGTAATTATGCATTATGGTTACTTACATGCTTATATGCACGCATAGTGGCATAGCAGAGAGTTTTTTGGACTCTCCCTTAAGTTCATTTTTGAGTCCTGTAAGTAGATCAGTAATGCATCATGGATACCAGCATTATCATAGATAAGAAATTGTTGTAAATCTTGAGTAAATGAGGAAATTACAAATTAACTAATTGTAAAAAAATCTGTGGTTTGTCAAAATTAAAACTTTGCATATTATGCACAGTTTTAACTTTGGCAGTAATTTTGTGCAGGAGCTTTTTGAGAAATAATGCTTGTAATTTTTCGTCTTACGGTGACTAAGATACTCAAAGACCCAAAGCTAATACCCCCTGTGTTAAGAAAAAGGTTTAGATCCTATGTCAATATTAAAGGAACTTTTTCTAACGTTTTTGAAAGTCTGGTGTGCGTAAGCAAATGTTATCTGAATGAACGCAAGTTTTATTGTGTGCTGTGATTGATTCTTTTTCAGGTGGATTGGTTGACGAAGAACATGCGTGAAGCGGGCTTCTCTGTGTCGTGTATGCACAGCGAAGTGAAGCAGAAGGAAAGAGACGCCATCATGAAGGAGTTCCGCTCCGGCGTATCCCGTGTGCTCATTACAACCGACATCTGGGCGCGTGGCATTGATGTGCAACAGGTACTTTGATAGAACTAACTACATTCTATCTTAAAATATACTTCCTAATGTTAGATCTAGAGAAATTTGTATTCTCCTCGTTCGCCTGTAGTTTCGAGCAACTGTTGCAGGTATCACACGTGATCAACTACGACCTGCCATCGAACAAGGAGCAATACCTGCACCGCATTGGACGGTCTGGACGTTTTGGTCGTCAGGGCGTCGCTATAAATTTCGTCTGCTCCGAAGACAAGCCATTAATCCGGGCTATTGAGAAACATTATTCTATTAAACTAAAAGATCTTCCCGATCCTGATCGGTAGCTTTATAGGAAAAAACGATTTTGCTACAGTGGGCTGTTTTTATTATCATGTACCTGTATTAATGATGCGGGAAATGGTGCCGGATAACGATTAATATTTTCCCGTGACTGAGACAGAGACTTAAGTAGTTACGTACTTCGTTGTTTTAAAATATCATGAATTGTGCCAATTGCATAGGTTGGTTTCCTGCATTTAGCATTCTTCAAACGATGATGCAACCATAGTCAATTTTGCCGACATTCCCTGCCCTTAAAATTAAGACGCTGGACGTTCATTGCAGGATTAGCTAATGAATAGCAATTGCCGGAACTGGATGAAAGGAGGGCAAAGCGGACCACATCGTAGGACAAATTTCTATAGCAGGTTTTTCACGCATAAGTTTGTCAAATCGAAACCGATTAGAACCAAACAAAAATGGACATATTAATTGACATCACGCTCATTTCAGTATCGACAGAATTTTTTTGTGCGCTTTGATTTTAACTAGCGCATTAAACGCTAAGTTTTAGCAAATTTTCCACGCACAAATTTTTAAAATCGACTTTGACATAATCAACAACGTAGCTATTTACTCGCGCTACAGTTGTTGAATCTTGAATTGCTATACAGGATCTATCCGACCTCAGTTCGCAATTCCGGTGTTTACAGCGAGTTAAAACACTTCTGCTTTGATCTGACTCCAAAAGATCTTGTTATAATAATTAGTCAGTCGTCAAGGATACAAAACTGATTTACACCAATTATTTACTTTATTTCACTCAAAATTTTCAAGCTCCCCAAAAGTTGATCATTGAATTGATTATTGACGTTTGCAACGTTGAAATTTTGCCATCATGAAAATCGATTTCGACTGGAAATAAGAGCTACTTGCGGTAAACTAGCTACGAAAACGCGCTGCACTCGAAAATTTAGAGCTTACAAATAAATATTGGGCTACCAAAATATCGAACATAATTTCGACCGCACCAACCAACTCCAAAATACAAACAAATGAAATCTTACAACAGTCCTGCGTGCGTCGACAATTATTTTTGCCCGCTTCGTTTACACGTGATGCCCTGAACGCGTAGTTGGGCGTGCAAATGGGGCTATAACCAGAGCTGGGCAGCGCTACTTTGAAATGTAGCGGCCGCTACCGCTACATGCTCTAAATGTAGCGGGCGCTGCCGTTACAATTGCTTAAATGTAGCGCCGCTACTGAAAATGTAGCGCGCTACTGCCCACCTCTGGACTAACAACTAACATGTTGACAGAGGTGGGCAGTAGCGCGCTACATGTAGCGGCCGCTACATTTTCAGTAGCGGTAGCGGCTCTACATTTAAGGCAATGTAGCGGTAGCGGTAGCGCCCGCTACATATTTAAGTAGCGATACGAGGTTTTGCCGCTACAGCGCTACCGCTACATTTATAGATAAAGCCTTTAGATTTTACATAAGGGGACCGGCTACCCTCCAACAAAACTTTTTTGTTTACAGACGGATCGTTTTGAAACTTGGTACACATATCATATGTAAAACAGAAATCTGAGACCTTTTTGTTCATGTAAATTTAAAAGAAAATGAAAGAAAACTTGGAATTAATAGAAAACGGCAAATAAGGAGTACTCTAAAAAGTTTATAACTTTTGCAAATCACATGCTACAATGTTGAGACACATATCATTCGATTTGTAACAACAATATCTAGCGACTGTAGAGCCCCGATTTTTGATTTTCCTCGTCGTTTTTTCGCGTTCTTCCCACTTTTTTCTCATTTTTACCCCCCCACCTTCCTCCCCCTCCCATATATAAGTCAAACCATGCACATATTAAAAAAAGGCTTCTAGAGTCGCTAGGTATTGTTTTTACAAATCGAATGGTATGTCTCTCATTGCCGTAGCTTGAAAACTGTTGGAGTTATAATTTTTTTAAGATGGCGCTTTTTGAATTTTTAAATTAATCAGGGGAGCCAAATAAAGTAAAATTCATTGAAAACAGAAGAATATGCCCAAAAAGTCTTGATATTGTAGCCCAAGCTTTCCCATTGCCAATTATTTGCATTCAAGGTACCAGCACGCGTCTTTAGACCTATTTATGTTCAATTTAACGTGAATAATAGGCTATTAATGGGACATTTTGTATATAAATATATATATATAAAATATTCATTTTACATAACTTTACAACTGCATTACGCAAAAACTATTGCATGAACATCCACGGCAGTAGCTTTGTTAAACGCGTCTTGTTTGTAGCTTTCAAACGAGTGCAAACACTTTGCAATTAACCTAAATAATGACATATAAATACCATTTATTTGTAAATAATGATATATAATGATCATTTTATAAAAGTTCAAGTAAACTGCGTTAGACGCGCCTTTTCAGCAGCTACAAAATGAGTCAAGAAAACGGTAAAGCCAAAAATTCCGATTTTTAGGGTAGCCGGTCCCCTTAATAGTATTAAATATTATTTAAAAACCAGCATGATACATACATAATATAAATTACAGAATAAAACTGTACGAAAGATTTCGGTGTAATTTTGTCAACCTCAGCCTGTTACTAGTGTCAACATGTTAGTTGTTACTTGTTAAGTTGTTACCAGTTACCACTCACAGGTTTTTTTCATCTTTCAGTTTGCTTACAGTTATTTTTACACAGTAATTTTTATGTTTCACCTTCCCTACATGGATGTCTACTTTAATCTACCAATCTAAAAAATAATCCACATATATATACAAAAAAGACTGATTTTTATATGTATATTTGGATATGTTTTAAAAATGTTTTATTATCATTAAATGTTAATGAGTAGATCCCAATAGCAGAACAATAAATATTTAGAGATTTCCAATAATTTTGGCCAATGTAGCGGCTAATGTAGCGCGCTACATTTTACTGTAGCGGTAGCGGTAGCGCCCGTTACAATCTAGTGGGTGTAGCGGTAGCGGTAGCGTCCGCTACATTTAGAGCATGTAGCGGTAGCGGTAGCGCCGCTACATTTCCAAGTAGCGCTGCCCAGCTCTGCATGTTGACACTAGTAACAGGCTGAGGTTGACAACATTTCACCGAAATCTTTCGTACAGTTTTATTCTGTAATTTATATTATGTATATATCATGCTGGTTTTTAAATAATATTTAATACTATTAGGTAAAGTCTAAAGGCTTCATCTATGAATGTAGCGGTAGTGCTGTAGCGGCAAAACCTCGTATCGCTACTTAAAAAGACAAATAAAAAAAAACTAAAAAAAACACGTTTTTTAACGGAGAAAAAGAGAAACCTTAACTCTTACATAACATCAAAGTTATGTAGAATGTTATGTAATGCTATGTAAGAGTAAATGTTTTTATTTTTTGTCCGTTAAGAAAACGTGGTTTTTAAAAGTTTTTTATTTGTTTTATTTCATTATTTTTAGTTTTGTAAACACCATAAAAACGTGTTTTGTTTAAAGTTTATTTTTTATATATAAATATTTTCTACTTTTTAGTTAATAATTTTAGCAATTGAAATCAATTTCCAGGGTTGGAAAATTTGGATGTTCGCCAAAAAAACTCGATTCCAACCGTGAATTTTCATGTTTTTTTTTACATTTTTTTTACTTTTTTTCAATTATTACCTCTGATGATCAAATCTTGAATTGTTAGGCAGCATAAGCATGCATACCAAATTTCAAGTTTCTAGGATCTTCAGAAGTTCTCTAAATTTAAGGTTCGAATTTTTGATGACAGACAGACACGAAGCAAAACTAAGAAAAACGTGGTAATAATATGTAGCGGGCGCTACCGCTACCGCTACAATTGCTTAAATATAGCGCCGCTACCACTACTGGAAATGTAGCGGCCGCTACATGTAGCGCGCTACTGCCCACCTCCGGCTATAACTTGGCGTGTAGCGATTTATGTATGAACGAAGCAGATAAGAAATTCTGACGACGCTGGTGAGAGTGTATTGTAAATAAATACTTCCGTTGTTAATTAGGTCAAGTTCTGTTTCGATTTGACGTAATTATGCGCAAAACCCCTGCTAAAACTTGGCGTTTAGTGCGCTTACAAAATAAAAGCGGACAAAATAAAATCTCTCGACGACGGCATGAGCATAATGTCAGTAAATATATCCATTTTCAATTAGGCCCTAATCGGTTTTGATTCGACAAACTTATGCGTGGACAACCTGCTATAGAAATTCGTCCCAAAACACCAGCTGTGGGTCCGGCCGTAAATTTGTCCGAGACGTCCATAAGTGGTGATATGATATGGTGCAAATTGAAGTGGGTGAAAACTACGAATTAGATTATAGTACCAGAGCGATGAATGATTACCTACTTGCCTAAGAAACTACAGAAACTGACTCACACGCGTAAGTTTGATTTTATTATAATTAATCATGCCGATATGCCTCGAATCCATCACGTAGGTGGCTGCATCCGGTATTTTAAGAAAAAAATCGCACTATGTAGGTCATTCCCTCCCAAGTTGTTGTAGATTTTCGTCTGACTGGTATTCAATTTTTTGCAGGAAGAAATTTCCTTAAGTATGATATTAAATGCCTTCGATTTCCACATGTTTTCCGTTTTATCTCGGTCTTTCATACATGAAAAAACGTCACTTCTTGCCTTTTTCACTATTTAACCGCTAGATAACACTGATAATGAAGTATATATAGAGATCGGTATATTACTGGAGGATGGTCTCGAATAACTTCTGTTGAATTATAAACAATCTTAGCGTTGCATTTGTGTGTTGAATTTTGATAATTGATAAAATGCCATTAAGTATTCTTCAATGTTTTTAAGACATTCTCAAATTACTTTTCATACGAAAATTCAAAGGTGTTAATACGAATCAACTCCAATTTAAACTATATTTTTTGCAATTTATGTGGATGAAGTTTTTAGGCATCTCACAGAATATAAAAAAGTCGTGCATCTAACACGGTACTAGCGGTTATGGCTGCGTTGTTTATGGCACTTGCAGTGGATGTCCAAATATACAAAAACATTGTGTAGGCTAGAAACTAATGACATTCATGATTTGTTTTGTGTTTACGTAATCCAAGTGAGTTTAGTAAATTCTTACGCAACTCATGTAATCTATAAGCATCGAATATGAAAATACTTTGTGCAGATAGATTTTTAGCTGTTGGTCACAGGTCCTTTCGTTGTTTCTTCCTGTAAGGCTGTACAATCTGAATCTGGAGAGTTAGGTAATTCGCATTTATGTTCATCGAAATTACATGAATGTGCACCTTTAGTCTCTACAATCTATTTGTTTCTAGATTACTAAAATCGAATGATGGCGAGGACCCGGATATGTACGTAAGACTAAGACTGCTGTGCAATAAGTTTAATATTAGGAATTTCATATATGACGTAGCTACTCGGACTCCCACTCCAGTGACTGCAGATCAATGCAGTGAGTCCAGTCCATTATGATTTACTTTTAGGCCCTTATCAACAATGTATAGTGTTTCTTCTTCTTGCTATTACTACTAGGTATGTTGCTAGATCTTGGTTTATTCTGCCAAAGAAATTCAAAACAATATGTGGGAATATGGCTTCTATAGAGAGTCTAATAGAGAGCACTCCCCTATTTTTAAGCAGCTCTAGCAGGCCATAGTGGCAAAGCAGAGTTTTTTAGATTCTCCCTCAAGTTCATTTTTGAGTCCTACTCCTATAAGTAGACCAGTAAAGTATCTTGGATACCAACATTATCAAACACAATAAATTGGTTTAAATCTTAGGTAAATGAGGCAATTAAAAATGAACTGATTGTAAAAGATCTCTGGTTTATCAGCTGTCAGTCACTACTCACTAGGGTAAACACACCATATTCCGACACCTTAAGGACCTAGCAAGAAATAAATGGCTATAAATAGATTACTGTATGTGCAACTCGATTTCTGATTGGTTTACGTCACTCTCAAAACACCACACTGTGACCACAGTACATGCCAAGTGCCATGGTCAGGAAGATGTGCTAGGTGTGCGGGAATTTGTATTGTCATTTCAACGACCTGCGCGGTGCACCGTACTATGCCAGTAAAAAAATGCGCCGTGCGTCGTACTTTTAGAAAGCTAAAATAGTTTGAATATGGATGCACGGCAACGCAAATTGCATAATCACACTGACTGTACACACAAACGTGTATCCGCATTGTGTTGTGGTTGGATATGAGTTAACTAGATTGCTAACGCGTCAACTCAGGACTCAGGTTCTAAGAGTCAGCACAGTAATGAATATTCATTCATAGATCACAATTCAATCGGACATGAATTACAGAACTAAAGAAGGCAACATGGCTTTAGATGTGCCATTGGTGCCTTCTAATGAATGACTGGACTGGTTGCGGCAAGTAGGGTATAGGTCTCGGACACATTTACGGCCAGACCTGCGGCTGGTCTCACAGCCGGAAAGGTTTTCTTAGTGTTTTTATGGGTTTTTCTAGTTTTTTTTTGTGTTTTTAATGGAACCTGTTCCTAACTGGACCTAACCTGCAAGGTTTTCGTTGATTGGCTAGGTTTTTTCTATGTTTGGAGTCCGGCGGCCATGGGACCGGCCGTAAATTTGTCCGAGACGTGTAGGGTATGAACCTGTACGTCAACAGTAGGTACGATCCTGCATGCCAATGTTGGGACTACATTCCTGATACCTCCCAGCCGGCGAAATCAACACGATCAATACCTAATAACAATGCGCGTAAATGGACTATACAAATTAGGTCAATATGGCATAATTACAGATTTACAGAGCATAATTATACTATGTGATACAAAATATGAATATATATATTTGCAAGATAAGTCAATGGTCTGTTGTTTATTTTTGCTCCATTTGAGCAATTATGGTTTCCAAATCTGGGTGCATTATGTTATGTCATGCGTACTTTGAATATGCAAAAAATATAACTATCATAATTATAACTATCATTTGAAAATTGTTACGTAGGTTATCATAGCACGAATCGCAATAGAGTATCAAGATTGCAGTTCTGCCACCACCCTTCATCGAATTATCCTGCCTTTTTTAAAATTAAATAATCTCTCTTCCAGCAAAGTTTGCGAAATTCTTTAGCTGCATAAAATACTCTCTGCTGTGGTGTTCAATTTCCGGTTGACATGAAAACTTGCGGTAAACTTGCGGTTCCAAAAATGGCGGGAAAGCTCTAATCGCGCCGCTCTGAAGGCAATCTATTTAAATAATATAATCCACGCCTACGCTGTAGAAAGTTCAAACTTCAGAGGTGGAACTTAATGCAGTAAATTTGCAGTAAGTCGTAAAATACCAGAAAAATACCAGATTAAGGCATATATACCAGATCTAAAATATTCATACCAGACACCTTCTGAAATACCAGATTTGTGAAATCTGGTATAGGAATATACCATCTGGCAACGCTGGTTCAGCGTTACTTGAAATCTACAGATGATGTTGCCATTCCATTCAGATGAAAACTGTGTCTAAATCCGAACTGTGTCGGACGGCTCCGCGGCCTGCGCCAAGTGCTGCGCGGCATGGAATCGATGACCGTGATTTGCGCAAACGCCTGCGCAAAGAAAATATAATTAGATTGCTTCGCGCGAACTGCGCTGACCTAGGGCTTCAAAAAACTATTTATGCACAGGAAATTTCCCCGTTTATATACATCTTCCCGAGTGTGGGCCAGGTGCGTTTACTACCCTATGGGGCCTATGCTCTAGCCTACTAAGCCTAGCAGGGGCCTGCAGGGCAGGGCAGTAGGCCAGTTTCAGTAGCTCATATGCAGAAATATGTGCCAGAAAGCAGAAACTAATGACTACATTAAATCAAATTTTCACAATGAGTAACAAATATGATTCGTGACTCGTGAGGCCTGATTTGAACCTTTACAAACATTTTCCTGGCTGGGAGAGGGAGACTGCCAGTGCCAAACTTTAATTAGGTATGTGCTCATATTTATTATTTTTAACTCGAGAATTAACTCTAGAGTTTATTCTGTCTTTCAAGGAAAACAAATTGTTGGTACTGGATTAGCAGATACCAAAAATTTTTTTGGCTGCCAGTCCTTTGACATAAAAATAATAATATTTTAAAATTGGGCAGATGCCACTTATGTACTGCCATACCAGGGACAATTCATAGTGGCAAAGCAGAGAGTTTTTAGACTCTCCTTCAAGGTCAATTTTACAACTCTTCTTTTAACTTCACTTTTTGTTATATGTCTGTCTGTGACAAATCTTATAGTCAAAATTTAACACACTTCTTCTTATCATGCATGGAAAACTTCTAACCTTAGGGCCGTAACTAGAGCTTTCCTGCCTGGAAAGATTCCTGCCAGATGAATTACCTCTTATAAAATTGTTAACAAAAATGCATGATTGGGGTTGGGTCACAAGATTCAAAATGTATCAAAAATTTCACGTTTAAGCCGTGAAATTTCAGAAACAAGTAGGAAAATTGTATCTGGAATGGAAACAATATAGCAAAATCCATTGCCATAAATATGGCAGACCCTGTAAAGTGGTGCAAAATTACAAGCTGTCCTGTAAGCTTACCTACAGAAGAAATGCTACATGGCTGCTGATGTGAAGCTTGCAGTGGACAAGGTTGTTGTCAATGCTCAATGGCATGTTCATGGATTAGGTAATATCGCATCAATAATACAGTAATTTATAGATAAGGTAATATGTCAATAAAGGAAAAACAAGTAAAAATCAAAGAAAATGTAATTTATTCTACATCTACCTCATTTACAAAGGAAGAGGAGGACTTCAGAGTGCAGAGTACTGTTAGTAATGGATGAGTACACTCTGCATGCTTCAAATGTTTTAAAATTAAGTTTTATTTCAAGTGTCCCTTATTACTCCATTGCCAGGGTTAGTTCAGGAGGCTTTTATTTTGCATCTGGCACCTTACGAATAGCATATGAAATTTTTTGGAGATGCATTTGATAGCCCTCGCAAAAAGCTTCAAAATGAGCCCTAACTCATTAATGAAATTTTTCATGCTAAGAAGTAATTAAGGAAAAATGCTCAGAACCGTCCCTTATTGTAAACCCCATTTGACGGTACTGTCAAATGGGATATATAGGACAATTTTGAGATTTTTTTGTTCATAACTTCTTACTATGAAACATTTCATGAAAATAAGTTTGGGCTAATTTTAAAGGTCTTTGCAAAGGCTATTGTATGGCATCTCCAAAAAAAAAATTCTATGTGCTATTTGTAAGGTGCCAGGTGCAAAAGAAAAGTGTCCCAAACTACCCCTGGGAATGGGGTAATTTGGGACACTCTAAATAAAACTTAATTTTAAAACGTTTCAAGCATGATGAGTGTACTTTATTACTAACAGTACTCCTCTGTGGAAAATTTAGATGTAGAATAATTGACATTTTCTGTGATATGTACTTTTTTTCCTTTAATGATATGATATTACTATATCCATGGAAATGCCATTGAGCATTGACAATGATCTTGTGTACCTACTGCAAGCTTCATGTCCGCAGCCGTATAGCATTTCTTCTGTATATATATCTGTAAACTTGCAGGACTAGGCTTGTAATGTGCACCATCCTTATTTTGTTGAGTGAATTTGCTATAACAAAAAAAAGATTGTAATAATATTAGAAAGGAATAGAAAGGAATATTATAGTGACAACCATCATATTTTTGGAGAAAAAATCATAGTTAAGGTTAATTACTTTTCATTCTTTGTTGCCCAGTGTACAATTCTATCTGACATTCTATGAACAATCTTGTGATGACTGATGATGCATTAATTTTTTGTTAAGAGACATTTTTTGCTGAGCAAGATAAAGTAATCAAAATTCTTTGTCATTAATTGATTTTTTTGTTAACTGGAGCCTTTGCTAACCAAGGTACTACTGTAAATGTGTTTTTAGAGGTGTTCCATATTACCCCAGGGGACTGTCTCTTTATTTCCAATTTTCCAGAAATGGCCGCCATTTTGTTTTGGATTGAGGTACCAAAATTCCGTCAATTAAGTATTAAAGCTGACATCTATCTGTAACTCTTTTTCAAGCAAATTTTTTGATATGGCAAATATTTTTTTTTACCACAGACCTTAGCAGAAATACTTTTTCAAAATATCACTTTTTTTCAAAATTTGAGTAGGAAACAAATTGCTGGACTCAATTCAAACAAAAATGATGGCATTAGTACAAAATTAAAGGTCTGTAGAAGGACCTTGTAAATTTTAATTGCAAACAAGCTGACATCTATCTGCAACTCTTTTTCAAGCAAATTTTTTAATATGGCAAATATTTTTTTTTACCACAGACCTTAGCAGAAATACTTTTTCGAAATATCACTTTTCAATATTTTTTAGAGCTAGTAAATGTATGATTTCTTAACATGCTTTATGCTACATGGATATAAAAAATGTTGAAGTTTATCATTTATGCCACTATTTTTAGTTTTGCCATATTCCAATTAGTCTCTCTGCTATAATATTTTTATACTGTGGCTGATAACTGTCCCAATTTACCCTGCCCATCCCTTATTACCCCAGTTGACAGTATTCAAATAAAATACCATGTACACCATTTGATGAAAAGTCCTCCACAAGCTTGCAGAGACAATTGCAAGCAACTTGAGCTGCTGTTGATATGAAAAATTGTTACACTATAAAGGGCATGATGGGCAGAAATAATTTTTTTCTCTAGCACTTGTCAATTCAGGCTCACCTTACTGTCATCTCTGTAACTGATGATATCCAAGATGGAATATGTCACAACATAGAAATACTAGATATTTTGGAAGTCACAGTTAGTGTGTTGAAGAATCTGAATGATTATATAAACAGATTTTGTACAAATGTTACATATCACTAATTTTTTAGTACAAACAATCCTGTAAAATGCAATAATTCCAAGTCTTCCATGAAGTCTTGGAGTTTGAAGACTGAATATAATAGAAGAAAATTCCTTTTTCCACTGCTAGGAATTGTGTATAAAGACACATTGAGTTAACTAAAAAAAAAATCCTGAATACATTTGCAATTAAAATTTACAAGGTCCTTCTACAGACCTTTAATTTTGTAATAATGCCATCATTTTTGTTTGAATTGAATCCAGCAATTTGTTTCCTACTCATTTGTTATGATTTGTTTTGCCTGTTATCTGTACACAATACCTATGCTAGAGTTTCACTTAAGCCTGGATACCTATTAAGTCACTACCTTGTCTGCAATTCATATTCAATAGATTTAATCTCAGGTTTACGTGCAGGATTGCTTGAAGGATGGTATTCTTGGAATGTCAATACATTTGTACATTGTTTCTATTTAGTTAAAGTCACTTGTTATAATGAAGCTGGAAATGTTGAAAATTCTGATGAAATAAATTAATCTTTCAATTATTTTCCCCAAGGTGGATGATGCTATGCTAAGGTGTAACCAACAAGAGCAAGAACGCCATGAGTCAGCCAGCTGTGGGAGTGCTGGCAGAGGAGCTGGTTGACTGCCAAAAAACCAGCTTTGCAAACTCCATTGAAGCAGAACCATGTTCACCCACTTCAAGAAGCTTCTCACCAGCAATCTCAGATACAGAGATCTGTGAGAGAAGAGAAGAAGGCACAGCAGTGGTGGCTGCTCTACCTCCAGCCTCTCCTATCAAGCATGAAGTCTTAGATTTAACAAGTAGCAACAGAACGCCTTTCATGGATCTCTCTGTGAAACCTAAATTAGCAAACCAAGTGCCTCCTGTGTCTTCTATGCTTCCTTCTGCTCTGTTAGGAAGTACCAGATCTGTCTCTAACCCGACAGAAGTCCTTACATCAACTTCAAGTTTTCATTCTAGAAATAATAGTAGCAAGTGTGTAATTAGTGTTAATGCTTCCAATGTATTAGGTAATCCAACGTGTGCCTCACCAAATGACGACCATCTTCGAAATTCTGTTGATTTAGCTGCTGGTCTCATAACCATTGATACTTCAAGCTTGTCATCTATTGATGCAGCTTCTTTGTCTACCTCTTTTCATTCAAAATCAGCAGTTCAAAAGAGCAACAAAGTAACTGCTCAAGGCACAATTGTTCCCCCATTAGCCAATTCTATACAAGATAGTGCAATATTACAAGACTCTTCTTCATCATCATCAGCTAGTGCTGTCTTAAGTTCTTCCATTCCATCGTCCAGAAATCAGGAGATCTCTGCTACAAGCCAAGATCATCTAGGGCAAGCAGACCAGTTCTGCAGTTCTCAAATTTACTCTGAGCTTCCTTTTTCTGGGTCAGAGAAGAAAAATACTCTAAAATTAAACTGTGCGTCAAAATTGTTAACAAGTCATTCTAAACAAGTTTCAGAACCATGTAGTGATGTATTCACTAATGGTCATGAACATCATGGGACCTCATCTACCAGTTTTCCTGCATCAGCTAGTAGTTCACCATGCCGTGCATCTCTGTCACCATCTCCTTCATGTAGCGAGTCACAAGGCATTGCTTCAGGTGCTGGGTCTGAGGTCAGGGGCATGCCTGCCATACCCGTACCTGCAGCTCCTGGACGACCTAAAGAAGCCCAGGATCCCTCAGCTTCTGGTTCTATGGACAACACTGATGGTGGTCGTCTAACTTTCTTCAAAGGTTTGTTGCAGATTTTAATTACATTTTCATTATTTAATTGAGTGACATCCTTAATGATAACCTAAAGGATATTGCTAACTTAATCCACATCTGTTATAAGATGTCCATCTAGTCCTATTTTTTGGCTCATTAATGTTCAATGTATTCAACTCATTTCAGAGGGAAAGTTGTATCCTTAATGATAACCTAAAGGAATTGCTGACTTTATCCACATCTGTTATAAGATGTCCATCTAGTCCTATTTTTTGGCTCATTAATGTTCAACGTATTCAACTCATTTCAGAGGGAAAGTTGTTGCTGGAGTTGTCGCATCGCAGTGCCAATGAGAGTTGTGCTATCAACAAGGATGGCAAGAAGACTAGTGGCTGCTGGGTACAGATTGAAACCAACACTTTTTGGCCGCCATCGTCATGTCGCGCAAATATCTCAACGCCCCTGCATTTTCCTTTCTCAGGTATTACTGTCAGATGTCTTCAGGTACCGTAGCAGTTATGTTTGCAAGTGATTTTTTCTATTAGTTTGTTGTCAAGGTATGATTGAATTTTTATACATGATTTAATTTAATTATTGTCAACACTTCTAGACATTGAAATCGACAGTGCTGTAGATGAAGATGTTCCAATAATATAGATTAGTGCCATAACAATGCCAAAGGAATAAAAATCACATTTATTAACACCATAGCCACTCGGAATTTTTAAACAATTCTCATTTGTCAGGTTCTAAAAATATTTTGAAGTTTCGTGCCGTCTTGCTTAAAATTGTGGCTACATTATTTGGTTGTGGAGAATTTAATTCATATTCCGTTTCTAACAAAATATTTGAAAGCATTGTGTTTAAAAATTATAAGAATATGTAATTACCCAAGAGGAGTATTTACTGCCAGCTCTCAAAACCAAAAACACGCATCATTTGGTAATTGAATTTGAATTAATAACAGTTAGCCCAGTGTCACCGGGCTTGTGTGTTTGATAATCCAGCGATTTCTGAATCCACTCATTTGGAATGCCATTAATAAATAATTCAAACAACGTATGATGATTAAAAAAGTAATCTGAAATTGAACTTATTCATAGCATTTGAATAAATAAATTTAAATTTTTGATCTAATTCTTCCCTTCCAGTTGTGTAATGTCTTACCATTCTCCCACTAAGAGTTAATTTCCAGGTACAAGTAATATCCTGACATAAAAAGTATCATAGATACACGCTTGAATAGCCTCTTTCTACCTTCCAGCTTCATCTTCAATAAAATACTTGAAAAAAAAACTTTTTAAAAAACCACGTTTTTCTTGTGGACTAAAAAGTAGAAAATAAATTATGGCTCGCCCCAAAAAACGTGGGTCGGGCTGTACGTTTACCATCAAATTTCCAAAATTCGTGTGTTGTGTGCTGCTCGCTTTAATCATAAATCTACACGTTTTTTGGGGCGAGCCATAATTTATTTTCTACTTTTTAGTCCACAAGAAAAACGTGGTTTTTTAAAAAGTTTTTTTTTTAAGTATTTTATTTTCTCCTTTTTAGTCCTACATAATATTCATTTTATTTCAGTTGGCCACGCAAATGCACGAAAGGAAATTCTTTTCGAAGTTCTGTAGAAAATTGTATTCGAGGGGATACATTGGTGAATGTAATTTCATTTCATTTCATGCACCAATTGAATAAATTCCACGCATTTCATTGAATAAATACGCCTGGAAACGTGCAACAAATTATTGATTATTGTATTGTCATCGGGAGCTGAGCTTCCGTAAAAGTTTCAGAGCGCTAGCTAGCGGGAAAGTTGGTGAAATATCGATTGCAAGATTTGATCATCACAGACGGACACGAAAGCGAGCTAAGAAAAACGTGGTAAAAACACAATCATTGCCAAATATATAGAATTTTTTATACACTGCCAAGCTCAAAATAATTTGTGAGAGTATGCGCATTATATGGGTTTGCTAACGAGGTGCATCGAACAGCCACTTTCTAGCGTCAGGTTTCAGACAAAAACAATCTTTGACAAATGTGTAAAAGATAAATTTTTTATACACTGCCGAGCTCGAAATAATTTGCGAGAGTAAGTGCATAATATGCGGTTTCGCTTACGTGGTGTATTGTTCTGACAGGCTATGGCAAGGCTGCTAGAAGGAAGATACGCACACCGCGGCGCTGTGAGCAACAGAGCAACGGGGTTGTTCAGCCTCCCCTCTCGTGCAGTGCTTCTCCTACAAAAGACGACGCCTCACATCGCTGTGTAGGCGCCCCGGTTCCCGAGACTTTTTTGTTTGTCTGTCCAGAACTTGTACGTGCCTTCAGAAGGTCTTATGGACCACTCATCGCTAGAAGACCTTTTCACAGGTTTGTGTCTTTTGGTGATTTGTCTTACCTTGATGCTTTTTCATTTAATAGACAAGGCTTTGTGCTTCAGTATCGATTGCAGAAATAACTGCAAATACATTTGATGTTGAAAAATTTGCTCAATGTGCCATTTCAAAGAACTTCCATGCCTCTATTTTTGACTGGCTGTTCCTTACTTTGTTAAATTGATAGCACATTATTGGGCTGTTTTGATGATTTGAATTTATTTCAGGTTTTCAGAGATGGACGCCTTATTGGAGCTTGATGATACCCGAAAACAAGCCCTACTCAGTCTGATGAGAGAATGCCGCAATCTTTTGCGTAGAAGCTCCTCTCAAGAAGGAAATAGAATTCTGCAAAAACACAAACTCGAGAAATATTCTAAAGTTCTGGCTGAACAACAGAATCTCAAGATCGATTCCACAATAAAGGTTGGGCAAATATTTGAAAGAGTAATGCTCAAAACACCATCACCAAACAATTTTGTGTCGCCACGCAAGAGATATTTGAAGCAATTCGAGGCTGATCACGAAATTCAAAATAAAAAGAAAATAGTGATGGCCACCAGTTCCGCTTCGCGTCCAGCAAGCTACATGACTGATTCCTATCAGAACTATACTTCCAGCAAGAACGTCTCTGCTAGACATTCCGCCCTCAATAACTACGGGGCCGCGCATACCATTGAGTCGATTTTGAACCATTCAGAAAAAAGGAATGAATCTTACTTGAAAAGTTTATTCAAATCTGAGGGCAAGAAATCCCCTCGTAGTTCTAGTCGCAGCCCTCTCACCCTAGAGAGTGTGAAGCAAGAGCCTGAGATGCTCATGAGCGTCAAGCCAGACAGAGATGCTAGTAGGAACAGCGAGATGAGATCGTCAAGAGATTGTGACGAGCGACAATCCCTACCTTCATACAGCGCTTCACCACATAGCCGGTCTTCCCCTCCCTCCCCGCGTTCTGCCCGCGCATCCCATGCCTCAAACACGAGTGTTAAAAACAGAGACCAGCCCGACTTACCATACCCTGGATACGGCATGACTCCACAGACCCTCGCGTCACTGTATCCGCAACTTTATGACCCCAACTATTTCTTCATCAACGGCCCTCTAGCTGCTGGCGGTCTCATGGCAAGTCCGCACAGCCAGATGGCTGTAGCAGCGGCCGCTGCTGCCGCTGCCGCCGCGTCCATCAGTTCCATGAGCTCCTATGGCCTGGCGCCTCTACAACTACAATTGGCAGCCACGCAATACTCAAGCCTTTTCAACCCTGTGGCATTCGCCCCTGCCATAGCAGCGGCTGCAGCTGCGTCCCCGCTCTCCCCTAGCATTGCGGCACCTCTCACTCCTGCCCTCACACCTGGGGCTGTTGCTCTCTCCATGCCTCACATGAACTCGTCCACTCTCCCTTCCGCTCACAACCCCAGCTTATCACTCCCACACGTCGTCACCTCCCACCACCCTTCCTTTATCAACAGCGTCGCCTCACACCAGTCACGCAGCAGCCCCTACCCAACTCCTTCTCCTCATCCTCGCTCACCCTACTCCCCATCTGTCAAGTCATTTTACCCTCCCACCCGTTCTCCGCAGTCTCGCTCTCGTTCTCCTCCCTCGAGATCTCCCGTGATGATGTCTACTACGCCTACGTCGTATCATCCACGCAAGCCCCACCCACCTCCTCATCACTACCCCCAACCTGCTATGCACCCCTCCTCCCCCTGGCGACCTGTAGCTGCTCACCAGCACCCGCCTCCCACCCTCTCATCGAGCCAAGGTAAGTCGTCGCTCCATCGTTTACTATCTCGTACTGTGCTGAAAAAGAGTAACATGTGGCTATATACTTCGTTAATTTATCGATTTTAGTAAGCAATAATGTCCTTGAACACGTATAAATTAATGTCTAATTATTAATAATTACTTTAGATACCCCTCTGAACCTCACGAAACCGCGATGCCAGTAAAGGTCAAGTGCGTATCGTCGCAGCGCGGACCTGCGGAGAAGACTCCTCAGGAAGTCGTTATAATGGACGCCACCACCGACGTCTTCCTAGCCCTTGTGTTTCGTTATCGCGTCCTTTGATTTGTCACAAATAGTATTCTTTTATTAATTACATTCCCACTGTCATGTTCCAGGAGCTCCTCCGCTTGGAGCAAGCAAACTTCTTGCACTAATAACTATTCTGCTGTGATGAATGATTTGCTTTCCCGTCTTTGTATTAATTGAATCGATACTTGTTACATGTTGGATCCATTTTCAACGCATCCACAAACATTAGTGCATTCACAAATATTAGTTGTTTCGTTAATGTTTTTATTTATTGTTCGTGCTGTTTGGTTAATGAACGATGACGCCTATGTTTGATCTCATGAGTGGTGTGGGGCCAAGTTGAAAGTTTCTGTTCTTTCTGCTTATAATTTATGTACCTGTTTCCGTGAGCTTCAATAGACGGTGTTTTCAAAAGTTACAGTTGGTCTATCTAAACTTCTGTATGTGCGACGAGAAAAGTTGATGCGGCAGGTGATTTGAAATCGTACGGTTGGAACGAGTAGTTCTTTGAATATTGTTGAATACAATGTTAGCGAAGGTCCTAAATAATTTTTTAGTGAAGGTCCTAAATAATTTTTACGATAATATTCCTTGCACTTGTTTTAAGGTTGAACATTAACTTATGGTTTGATCATATACTTTAGCTTGAAGACGCAGAGTCTCATGTTGCAATATTTTGCTTCTGTTGACCTTGGCTATCTTTTCTATTGTAAAAATTATTTCTTTCCATCGAATTTGCATAACGGTAATGGAAACTTATATTCTTACGTATTGAAGTTTCTTCTTTAAACCGTTACGCTGTAGCGTTTTGTTGGAGACTTATTCTTCATGTGTTGCAATATCTTCTGTCCATCGGATGTCGAGCAGCATGAGGATCTTATGACGTAAAAAAAGTAATTAAGCTTGACGTGTGATGTTAATTAAACGGAAAAGTTTTCGCTGGAATTAGTATAATATTTATCATCGGCTAAAAGTATGTATCATAATCATTTTGTGACGGTTAGAAAGATTCGTTTTGTTGATAGTTTTAGTCATCGACAAACGTGGTGGACACCTGGCGTTTGAATTACAGGACTTTCGTAGACATGTCACCTAGGGTTTTTACTGTTATACGATTGATAATATGAACATTTTTCCATCAACCTTCAGTTTGCAAGATATTTTCCGGCATTGCGTTGCGGAACGCATCATGTTGTGGCCTTAAAACGCGTGTGCCTTCCTTCACCTCCTGAAACAAAGCATCTACAACTTCCGGTCTAAGTGCCCTGCTTATCATAGTCAAGCAAAATCAATTTTATGGTATTTATGAGCAGTTCTGTTTCAGGCTTTATGCTCTTTTTTAATAAACCTGGGCTGTTCCATTGATAAATTGTGTCCTGAATGTTGATAATTGATCACAGTCGATTCTGATAGTCTCTCACTCCCAGTAAATTATATTTACCTTAACATCGGGCTTTTCTCTCTACTTCTTCCGTACGATTTTCCTCTGCTCTTTTTCAGTGTCGCGCTGAATTTGGTGATTTTTGAAAGTGTCATTTGAGTTAAAACAATGAATGTAGATTTTTTATGTGTAAAATATATGAATGTTCTTTACGGGAGAAATGTACCAACAGAAATATCAGTGCTGAGTATTCGCTTTACGCACGTTACCATGAATGACCGCTGCATTACAAGCCTTTTCTTGCGCATAAATGTCCGCTGTCGACAACATTATAAATTTTAGTTAACGAGACTTTTTTTCCAAAAGACATTTCTATGTTACCTCCATCTTAGAGTTCGTGCCAAGTGTATTCTCCATGATGTTAGCTTGTAAGACTGGGCATTTTGTACGAGTTTTCCTCAGTTTCGTCTTGCAAATATGTAATACTTTTAAGCAGGGTTCATCAAAGACCAGAGAATTTGTTTGATTTATAATTTCCTTATTAGTTTCTTCAAAATATCGAACAATATTTTTCGTTTGCTCTGGTAAATCGATAATCAGGGTACCTGATTTTCAATCAAATTGAAAAAAAAAATCGATTTAGCAGTGCAAACGAAAAATATTGTTCGACATGTTGAAAAACTAATAAGAAAATTTTCATTAAAACAAATTCTCTAGTCTTTATTGGAACCTGCTTAAAAGAACAAATTCTGCCAATCTATACCACTATGTAATACTGCAGACAATTGTGTAGAATGTTGATTTCTTGATTATTGTCATTTCATACAGCGCTGTGCTGGTAGCAATATTTTTATACTATTCGGATAGGCACGATCACAACCTTGAGCATACTAGGGTACTCATGTTATCTTACTCGTAAGTTTTAAGAAATGTTTATAATGTTTTATATTGTGCCAAATGCATCTTTATTTCGACGAGTATTACTAACTAACCTCGTACTTGTTGCCAAACAAAACTGATGCGCATCTCTCTGAGGACTAAAACTCGTCAATAACCGCCTCGTTTTATTGAGGTTATACATAACGACGGATTACGGCTTACGTATCTGACCGTCGTGCTGCTTGTTCTTCTTGTGGCTCTTGCCACCAGATGCGCCGCTCATGAACCTCGTCTCCACGTCCTCGGATGTTTCTATTTGTTGCTCCAGACGCGTTTTATCTGGGACGTCGTCATCCACTGGCAGTCCCAAGCGCGGACAGAATACTTCTCTCACTGAATATAGTTAGATAAGCGTTAATAACCGCATGCACCGCGAGTAACTCTATATTGAGAACGTTTTGGAAATCAGCATGACATCAACTATCGATGGTAAAAAGTCACTTGGGCGTACATGTCCAGTCATGTTATTTATATTCACGATACTGGAGTACCTGTTCTTAGGAAATGAATATCTCACCATTTTTTCACCCGCCTGATTATTAAAAACATATGCGACAAGAAGATTCCATCATCTGACTGATGAAACTGATGACCTCTTTTCCCTCACAAAAAATGCACCAGGGGCAATTAAAGATCAAGACGATTGAGCGACTTCGCTTCAACTTAAGCCACTCGGATCACACTTGCTTTCATAGATTATTGTGATATTCCACGCCAGTATAGAATCATCAGTTATAAACTCGCCTTAAAATTCACGGCCAGAAACGGGAGTAGAGAGGTTACCAGATACTTCATATTCATCATTTTATAATTTTAAAAATCTCACCTTTCAGGGAAGCGCGGATATCCCAAACTTTGAAGCAGTTGTCTTTCTTATCGCCACCGATGCAGAAGACAAATGGATGTTCTAAAGCAGCTGTAAGAGAGAATATTTTTCCCACCTGCCGAAAGGAAATAGTCAATATTCAGTCTTCCATTATCGCTACGTGACTGTTTACTGATATTTGATGACAGAAACGTCCAGTGCAGAGCGACTTCGATGCCTAATTATTAGAGAACAAAGAACAGAACATAAAAATCTGCGTGGTGCGAGGAAATCCTTGAATGAAAGAAATAACCGATATTGTAATCGATTTGGAGAATACATTGTGGTTAAATAATGAATAAATTTGATTAACATGTTGAATAAAACTATGAAACTAAAAAAAATGAACAAACTGACAGAGGTCATTTTTTGCGTCAGAATGTCTTGATATTGAAGGAATGCTAGTTAGCGAGAGTTTAGAAGTGCCCTATATACAGTACGAACAAACACTCCCCTACTGGAATTATGCCATTATCTGGAATTTTTCAGCTGCCATTTTTAGCGCAATTTCTCATTTATGAAAAAAATGCACTATTGTGCTCGCCATGTCCGTCCGTCTGTCCGTCCGTCCGTGACCTCAAATTTTCGTTGACGAGAAAATGCGCTCTCTGTCACTCACTGCAGTGAGTATTGAGTTATATTTTTTCTTGATTTCATATACTCGATACAAGCGATAATGCTCATTTGTCAAGTAAAATTTCCGATTTTGAACTGCAATGTACGATATTATTTTATCTAATTTCAGTTCAACCCTCGCCAGACTGCATACTTTTACAGCAATAGAACTCTACAAAGAGTAGGTAAAGTTGGTACCTCGACATGGGTTCAATGAGAACTTCTAGAACAGATAAGTCCGGTGCAAGATTTATACTCTCCATTGCCGAGAAGTTTATAGATGTTTAAATCGGAGATGAAATATTAGTGAATTCACAAAGCATTTCAAACATTTAAACGTTTGTGGTCAATAAACTGTAATTTGTTTAGTATCGGATACAATGAATGTAGTTTTTTTATTAAACACAGTAGTTCAGCGTTGAGCAGTTCATAATATTATCCCATTATTGGTCGGCCTAAAATTTAGCTGACTGGATTACAATGCCCTAGAGTGTAAGCAAGCGTCTAAGGAATACAGTCGACTGTGGGGCTATTTTGCCACACTAGATAATCAGGGTTAAAGTGAGAACTAAAATTGAGTAAGCAAACATTCTTGAACTAACCTGAGGAGCGAGCTGTACGACGAGCTTAGGAGCGGCAGAGATGAGGTCCATGGGGTTTCCTCCGTCCCATACTCGTATGCTGTGATCCTCAGCAGCAGTCACTAGCAGACCTGGACACTTACTGCTCACCTGTATACCTGTGCCACAGGGTTAACTTCTTTATTCACACAGGAGCACACAAAAAAATTTCTTTCACCATTCTATTGCTTAATATAAAGCAGATCAAAAACTTGCATGACTACAGAAAACGTTTAAAACATGCCGTAATAATTCTATTGCGTTCAATTCAGTAGACGAAAAACTGGTATACAGCCTGATAACTTACTATTTTTTATCATCTCCAGAAATTAGAATGCTACTTAACAGTACCTCTAAACCAGGGCAAATATATCTTCCGTATCAGAAGTAAAACGGTTTATTTAAATATGATTTTTCTGTACATCTGTAGCCTATTTTTTCGACTATCAATAAAGAATTCAATGCTAACTTGCAAAACAATGAAATTGCAAATCAAGTTTTACCTTGAGTATTATTTCATATGCCAGAAGTGAAGAAGAGTTCATCGCAAAGTTTACAGTTCCGGAATACTCAGAAGAAAATAACAGTCTAAAGTAAATATTGTTGATGAATTAAAAACATTCAATAAATTATATTTATTATTATTATAACATAAGCACGACAGGCAGTAAGATAACGCACCTGTGCAAGCCTTCTCGTGCGGCGTGATGGCCCAGACAGGCTCCTCCTGCTCGGGGTCTATGCTGTACAGCAAGCCTTTGTCGTTACTGGCCTGAAAAAAGTACCCGGTTAGCAACAAGTGATCGTAATTGAACCTTGACTGTTCCTGTTAAAAAGAGATAAAAAATCCGCTTAGAAAATAATTATTCTCGATAAAATCAAAGCTCATTATAATGAAATTTGGTTGAGGGTTCAGTGACATGAAGTACACGGAGTTTCAATGTGACTAGAAAGGACTCACAAGCAGACAATAATTCCCGTTCTTGCACTTGACCCAGAGGACTTTCTCCACATCGCCGTCGAGCTGCCAACGCTTGCTGCTGCCGTCCCTGCAGTCGATGATGTGAACTTCACCGCCCGCACTACCGGATGCCAGCGTAGAACCTATGGCGCAAAGCGTAGTTTTAGCCGTAATAATATCAGGAGGGGAGGGAAATTTCGTTCAAAAGTCTTGTCCTAGCTTTACAACGTTACCTAGCACCTGAAGTTAGTAGAATCTAGTTTTTTAAGAGGAAAACATAGTACTTCTTTCAAGTGCATTCATGAATAATATACAATAGCACTCAAGATCGGTATGACGGAATTCTAAGTTAACGATAAACCCTGAAGAGAAGAATTATAATATGGATGAGTGAACTGGTAAACATAACATACCTTTTTAAAAAATTGTACGTGTTGTGCAGATCATTACCTGCTGAAACATGAGGGCAGTTGATCTCTTTTTGCATTTAACAGCCAAGTGATCATCAGAGAATTATACAGGCAGCGCAGCATCTCATTACCAATGCTAATGTACGCGGAAACTCAAGAGGATTCTAATACCGCGACGTAGTTAGTTGTCATAGAGGCTCCATATTAGCCCAAACTACATTCGTGAGTGCCTTTGTTTCAATTTGTTGGCCTCTCTAGTTAACACTTACATTAATAATTAATCGCAAAATGGCTGTTTTGGTTATTTTTCAGCCGATTGCTATGAAGTTGTTCGTTTATTTTCCTTAAGTAATGCAATCCAATTGCGTAAATTAATCCCTGTTTTGAACAATTCCATTGCGTAAATTAATCCCTGATCCGTACAATTCAATTGCGTAAATTAATCCCTGTTTCAAACAATTCAATTGCGTAAATTAATCCCTGTTTCAAACAATTCAATTGCGTAAATTAATCCCTGTTTTGAACAATTCAATTGCGTAAATTAATCCCTGTTTTGAACAATCCAATTGCGTAAATTAATCCCTGTTTCAAACAATAGCAAATAGCCAGATTCAAATATTTTTAGTTTCTGCAACCTAATTGGAGCTTCCTGCTCAACTCTCGTAATTACTATCGTTGATGGCGATGACAACCTGTTTTCGACCAATAAAACTAAAAAAAATATAATTTACATTAACGTGGCTTCGACAAAGTATGAAAGCATAATTGCAAAGCAGAAAGACTTAAGATCAAATTTGAAGCTATTTACACGTCAGGTAACAATTATCAAGTCATATATATTCTAGATGTTCAATTGAAGAAGATGATGTCATTTAAACATGTAACGATTTTTAGTTACAACCTCACTTTCCTCGCTGTCACTCAAAATAAATAAGAAAAACGTTGAATAAGACAGAGCGTTGCTTCTTTATATAAGGCTTATGCTACTTTAAGATGCTGAGCCTCACCGCACTCGGGATGCCACTGCAGACTCTGCACTCGGCCGCTGCAGCAGGTTAGCACCTGCGACACTGCCACCTCCTGCAGGTCCCACAAGATGATCAAAGTGTCCGCTGAACCACTCGCAAGCACGTGCCTGCACACGCAATCCAATTGTTCGAGTCGAATTTATCGATTCAAATGGCCAGATCTCACTTAAAGCACATCCTTCAATAGCAACAACTCATATATATGTAATGCAGCAAAATATATATGCGACCTTTTCTTGTCTTACAGCCCTATGAGAGAAAAATTAATCTTGAAGTGACCCTGAAGTTACATGCATATAATGAGAAGATTACCTCGACTGAGTGTAAGTAAGATTAACCTGCACGATTAGTTATGCTTGCTCATATCACTGCTGGTATTGTCATGTATAACATTTCACGAAATGATTAGAGTAGTTCATTGAAAAAAAATACATGGAAAGTAAAAAATAGGTATGTAAAATTTAAGCCGTCGCAGTAAACTAAGACAATAATAACTACTTGAGCACTCATCTTGCCTACAAGCCGATTGCAGAAAAAAATAAATTCTTATATAATAAGTAATATATAGAATAATAATTTAATATTTATATAAGAATAAGTACAGAGAATGAGAGAAAATTATCATACGAAAAGTAATGAATGTCCGAGAGAATCACTGTGCAAACACTAAATAAGTGTGTAGTTAGGCAATAGCTCATTAAGCGAGTATGATTCAACATTTGTGCGGTTGAAACCCCTACATTTTGATCTAAAAATGTTAGGCGTTTCCCTTATTTTGCCAAAACCCTGTAAGTACATATAAAAGATATTGTAGCTACGGTTTGAAATCAAAACTTGAAATTATTCCGAGAACAACTGCAACGTCCAGACAAATCCAGTGGTGGGCAAATTTATAGCTGGAGACTCATCCTTGATGTATATGTACTTATGTCATTTCCAAATTTCAAGTGTTGTAAAACTTATTACCTACTTGAGAAGTTGAGAATGAATATTGAATATTCAAAACGTCGTTTACCAGTAAAATGTCAGTTTGGTAACCTGCTTTTTGATCTCCCAACACCAGCAAGAAATTTTGTTCGGCTTATTGTAAAAAAAAACAATAAAAAATTGTTAATAAAAAGCATGCTCTGGTCTTCAATTAAAACCGCTTAAACTCTAAATACGGTGCAAAAACGCCATATGTTAAGTTTCAATAAGGTTAATCAAGCAGGCGAATATTATCCCACAAGAACGGCTGTACTACGTAACCAATGCTAAGAAGGCGAAGGGAGATCTATAAGTGTTATTTATCGATCGCTCATGAGGTTGAACATTCTTTCTTTTTGTGTCAATAATAAATAAAGAAACTGACTCGTATTCCTTGTTCCATGCAATGCAGAGAACAGCGTCAGTGTGGCCGTTGACCTTCTTAGGCGCGTCATTAGTCTTCTTCTTTCTCCTCCTGTTCTTCTTGGTGGCTTTGTTGGGTCGTGGATCACCAAGCTTATACGCAGGCTCCAGTCCATCGATCAGATCAAGATCCCAAACCTCGATTTGAGGCTCCATCGTCCCGACCGCCACCAGGTTGCCTGATCACAATAAAATTCAAGCTGTAACTAGGAATGTAGAATAAATGAAAGCACTTAAGTCGATATTTCTGTTAAAAAAAGTCATGTTAATGCAATAAATGCTTAGACAAAATATTCCGTGGCCAACAAATAAAAGGCTCGATTATGAAGTATCAAAATATTTTCAACGTTTCTCTAGGTAACTAAAATGCCTATCACGATCGTTTGTACAACCATTTATAACTATCAATATAATGTGTCGGACTGAATAATGCAATGAAATTCATCAATGCGTTTTCCAATTACTTACGATTAATCGTATAGAATTGGCGTGCGATTTCCTATCGCTAAACAAACACATAGAAAAATCCGCTTTTCGTAAGCACAAACGAAACCATCCACCGTATCCATTCGATAAGGCGGAATTACGTACATCATGACAAATCAACTCCGCGTCTCGGAATCTTTTTACTCGAAACGAACCTACACCACGAGACTAGACGAAAATTTTCAAGGCAAAAATAATGAGACAAAGAGAAGATTGTTTAAAAATCGGGATAATAATTCTATTCCAAAATTTGCGACAATAGTTCCGGCTTTTATGAAACTATACCAGACATGTATATAAAATGAGACATGTATATAAAACAAGATATGTTATACAGATTCGAGGCAAGACGATTTATTTCATTACCACACGAGACACGTCGAATGAGATTATGAAGCATTTTGATTGCGTGAATAATAATGCCTAATGAACGAGTTAAACACTTGATAATGGCAGTTGGGCTGCAGGTTAGGCGACATCCTGCAAAAATTTGCAGTCATGTTGATGGGCTGACGAGACGATGTAGCGCTAGCAGAATAACTACGCTCTGACGCTATTCGCTCATAAGGTTTTATATTAGATCCACTAAAAATAATCGCGCCTAACGCGGACCGTACACGTTCAGCAAGCGTTTCAAATGTCGTGATGGAGTCGGCGTGGGTTGGAGACGCAGTGCGTGTGATAAAACCGCTAGAAGAGTGTGGGCGGGCTCCATCTTGCCCTTTAAATTTGCTGTCATTAACAGGATTCCAATTAATGATATCATTGTACATAGTATAATAACTGAAACTTTAAAATGGTTGCTCATAGACAGGATAACTTTTTGCAGCCTACTAAATCTGGCAAGTTCCAACTGCCAAAAATATAGGGCTAATTGATTCGTGTATACAGGTGTGTATACACAGGGAAATGGCGGCTAATACTTTCTCCTTCTAGTTTTACCGGCCGAAAGCTAATATAAGAGAAAATCATTTGCTTATCAATTTATTGTCATCTTCTAGTCCCAAGTACGTCGTTAGAAGCGGTAGAGTGCAATGTGCGCTCGGTGAAACTATATGGACAGTGACAGCACTGGCGAGTTGAGGTTTTAGATGAAGTGTTGCAACCCTAGCTGAGGATACGAAAAACTTAGTCGATCAACATGGTGTGGGTGAAAGCGGCGCATAGATGAGTTGTGATGAGGAAGATGAGGACTACTAGTTAATCCTAATCGCGACGGGTCCTCGGAAAAACGCCCCCGGTTTATAATAACATCCGTAAGAAAAACATAAATCTCACAGCCTTGTCTGTCAAGACAAGGCTTGAGAGACACTCTTCTATTCATGGTGTCGGATAAATAATATTTTAGCTTTTTTATTCTATATTCTATAATAATTAGGTAGTTCATTTAGCAAACCTCGTATATAAACTTTTACCACGCAGCGAGCTGCTCCGCGGGCCGGGAGCGAGTTGTGCCCCTGCCAAACTTACCTACGACTCAGCGAGCAACAGAGCTTGGAGGTATTCGAGCTTTCCGCTGCGCTCATACGTCTCATTGCGCTCATACGTCGTTTGTAGACTTTGCAATGGCGGGCAATGAACTCACGGACAATGAAATAAAAACTATTGGAAGAAATAAACTCTTAAAGAAACCTGCGATAAGATGCACCGGCGGTAAAGATTCCCCTTTTTTCGGGAACACGCACACATGAATGAACCAGTCTCCTCTCCAGTCACCACCGGTAACATGACCACAATATCAAACGGTCGGAATTGTCGTACACGGAAATGACTCTGCCTGAGACCAGAAACTCGGTCGTTTCATTTTAATAATTTTCACAATGGATTGGAGCTCACAATTATGAGTTTGAGGACTGCATTTGATAGGATCAATATTGATGCCTGGTAAAATAATCGCGGCGTGTGTTTGATGGAGAGAACCTAAAAAATACATGAAAGAGTAAAGGACAGAAATCACTTGCACTGAGGTCGTAACGTGACACGAAAACATGAGGCGATATATGAACAGCATTGACGACGCAATATATCCATACTTTTATCAATTTTTATAGGAATTAATTAGTACTTTTTACGGGGAGTGTTCGAACCTACTAATGATTGATGGCGAACGTCATGAAGTATTATAACTGGTCGAAAAAGAACCAGTCGGCTGCTAATAACGACACCCTGGGCCTGGGTACCACAAACGAAGAAATACTGAGTTATTGTTGAAGCTCTGTGGCCGGCAACTAGTTGCAAGTTGTAGCCGTTATTCCTAGTTGCCGCAAGTTGCTCTGGACAAAGCACCGCAACTTACGAAATATTGTTAAAAAAATGTTTGACGAATTTCATTATGATCAACTCGTGAGTCCTATTAACACAAAATTTAAAAGTTCATATTTCGTCCAGAGGTCTCGTCCCATCGTGATTAATAATTGATTTTCAATTAAGAGGAAAATCATTATTTATCGCCAACAGGACAACATAAAATTTTATCGCCCCGTCTCGTGAAAAAAGTACGGAAAGTACCTTTAAAAACATTTATATTTTTCCAAGAAGACTGGAAGAGTTAGAAATACGCGAAAAGAATGAAAAATTTAAGACACAAAGCACAAACAGATACTGTAATTAGGCTCGTGAAAGTATAAACTTCAAAATCTTACGATTACAAATACCACCTTTTCAATAAATTCAACGGTTATAACTTAGCTATTACCAATATTTCGCATTTTCTCTTTTTGACTGAACTTTGAAACAGGTCCCAAGTGTATTTTGATAGAAATAATGTCAATTTTCTACCTATTCTTTCTCTTTTCTCTCATAAATTTTCAATTAATTAGAGACTTGCGCAAATATATCTTAATATAACATTAAAAACTAAAATTTAGTACTTCACCTAAAATCAAATCACCTGGTTAATACGCTATGTAAATGAAATCGACTAACGTCATATTTCCTTATAAGTAGTAAGCCTGAGCTGCCTGATACGCAGCACTGCACGAGAGCGCCCGAGCGGTCACCGCCTCTTACCACGACATCCGAACGAGAATTGAACGAAGATTGAACAAAGCTCTACAAACCGAGGTCAAAATGGGAGTTCGTAAACAAGAGATTTAAATTATAGAGTTATCACTATCAAGTGGGATATCCATGATGAAATATAATTCAAATATTCATTGGTCAAAATTTTTTTAAGAAGGCATTATTTTTCAATTGACATTTTACAGTAATAAAAGTAGTTGTGAGAAGCAATCTATGACGACGTTTTTTTCCGATCGGAGTCACATATTTTCAAATTAATTTTAAAATCATATCTTATATATAGCGTTACAGTCATCACGTGTTGGGATAATAAGATAATAATGCTTCGTTCGAACGAGACCTGCGTTCGCTTATAAGAAGCCACAGCACGAAGCCGACATCACCAGTCAGCGCTGAGGACGCGTTGCGTTAAACTGTGCTCAGAAATAACGTCAAGAGGAACGTTCTGACGGACGAAGAGGAAGCTTCTGACGAACTTTTTACGGTGAGATGAGCCAACAAGAATATTCTTTGTTTAATTTTACTTCATAATTGAGGATAATTTTACTTCCTAATTGAGGATAATTTGGACGTAAAAAATTATGAAAGTTTGGCGTTTAGGGTACAAATTTCAGTAAGGAGCTAGAGATTTAAATACACCGTAGTTCAATAACTGCAGCGAATATGTAACATCTTAAGACGCTAGCTAATGACAAGTCTGCTAACGTTCGTGTTTTTCCCTGAAATATTATGGAATAAATATGAATAACTAGGTTGACATTTATATCTGTCCCATAAAATTGCTGCTGAAAGATCTTAACTTAATTGTGCTCTTTAATTATTCAACTAGGGAAACATAAAAAGTATACCAATTTATTAAGAACATGAATAGGGTTACATTTACAAATATGATCATGTAATTAACAATATTTGAATTCGTTGAAACTTCCCGTCCAAGATTTGTTCAAGTGACGGTATAAGCGCATTGATAAGCACATAATATTTTAGATAGGAGAGAGTGAGCACTACTTAATTAACATGGTAAGTGCTTGTAGTGAGTAACACCAGCGTGTCTTATTGGGTGCGTATTACTCATATGTTATCAGTACCGGAAGCCTAGTAATGTCAATGGAATATAATACTAATCACGTATAATAAAAAGCAGGTACGCTAAGGTCGTAAAAAATTAAGTAAAACGAGCACATTAATAGTTTAATTAAAGTTATCACTTGGTACCCTGAATAGTGAACGATTTCTTGAAGCAATGTTATGTAGTGAAGAACGTCCATAATACTGACCACGGATCTGCCAAAGGCACAATTATGGCTGCGTTGTCCCACCAAAAGCTAGCGCTATTTTTTCATAATCTGCTGGTGAATGGAATGCTCAAATAACTCAATGCAGGCTGCGCAGCCGTGCACCCGCGGCCTGGTGGTGCACGGTGGTGCTGAGAACGTAAACATAGTGCTCATAATAAAATAAGAACACGCACCTGGCGCCAGCTCCTCCTGGAAGGGGTTGTAGTTGAGCCACTCCATGCAGAGGGGCACCGTGGGGAGCAGGTTGTCGTGGTGCACGTACAGAGCGTTGCCAGCCTCGTTGTAAACTGTAAACAGATAATAGAAGAAATTTGTTATATTAATTGCGCGTCTGCGAGTAGATAATGTACCTATAAAATTCTCGTGTTCTGTCTATTGAAGACCTTTACATTGAAACTCAATACCGTAACCATCTTGTACCCACTTAAGGTGAGTTTGTCGTCAGTGCAGTGCAACACCACTTTTCATAAAGATCCCGTCTATTACGTACTTTCTTAGATTGAGACTGATGAAATCGTTATCAGTATAGGCAGCATTACAGTCGACTAACGTTATACACTTATTTTCACCTAATACATTCCATGTTTAAACAAAGATAAGGATGATTTCAGCTCAACAGGAATTTGTGGCGCATCATAAAATGGATTGTGGATTCATAATAATAACAAATCAAGGATAAAACTCTAGTAATCTGTAGGACTTTAGCTGGTCAAAAAAATTTAAAATTTTTGTAGGACTGTAGCTGGTCAAAAAACAATTATTTGTCCAGCATTATAATTGTGCAAGCGATACATAAACACCGGTCTTCTTATTTCTTGTACAACAGGAATATTGCTGGTGTTAAGCATAAAATATTTTTCATTTCCTTACCAAGAAACGTTGCAGAAATCTTCATGTATATGCATATAATGCGACTTGCTATCGGACATTCTTTCCTCAAGAAAATTAAAAGTGAAATCAAAATTCGTCTATGGGTATGAGCAACAGTTTGATATAGTAGTAGTACCTATTTCATTCTCTTATAAGTGCTTGCATTGGGAAAGCTATATCAACCATTAGTACGTTGTTACAGTAGAGATCTGGCAAAACAGATATAAACTCACCATAGACCTCTAGAATGGCAGCATCGTTCTCGACATGCCCCACAGCAATGAGGTTGTCATCAGGCAGGATCCTGTGGTTCTCGACCTCACTGAGCTCATCTTCCTCTCGCGCCTGGTCATGGCTGTCCTTCAGTAGGGGATCGTCCGCGGGGTTACCAAATACGCTCAAGTTCTTCAGAGTCAGGAGCTGATTTAGCTGATCTATATACACACATAAAACTTATGAGTACAAGCTTCAGGAAACAACTGAGCGAATTCCCTGGCCTAAACTAAATGCCATACAATGTGATGCCTTCTGCTTGCACTGAAAATGAAAATTGCCCTTTTCATGAAGTATTTGACACCTATGCAATTTCGGAACAATGCAATTCTTTCTTTCTATAAGTATCAATTTTGAATTAAAATATATAAATACTTTTTAAAATCATCAGAAGAAACTGCACTATACTTACTATCATCCTCCTGATCATATGTGCCAAATGAGTACAATTTGTCTATGTCTTGCTCATCCACAGGAGCATCTTCAATTTCCATGGCTTCTTCCAACTTGACTTTAGGTTTTACATCAACTTCTTCAATTTGTTCTTCATCTACATTATCTTCATCTGTGTCATCACCCTCATCACAATCGTCATCCTTTTCTGCTTTCAGATCTCTGAAGAGCAATATAATTCAATAAAATGTGCTGGTGTTGAATAGAGAGACAAACTAAGCAAGATTCTACATTCTTTCATGAAGGCAATAGAATGAAAAACATTTTTTACAACACTTCTCATTAACTTTACTTTTTGTTGTTTGTTTGTCTGCTACAAATCTTATAGGTAATCAATATTTAACATAGGTAGGTACTTCTACCTGTCCAACTGATCTGAAATTTTGCACACTTGCATAAAGTCGGCAACAAAGCATGCACCGATTGACAGAATAAATAATTTAAAAATTAAAAATATACCTATATATATAATATATATACATATTAGAAAAAAATGTTAAACTTATTTTTTATTCTTTTAAAAATAACAAAATAAATTCATAGTACATTAATAACATCAGAGACACTGGCCCCTTTAGAAGTTTCGTCTTTAAAAAGTAATTTTTAAATGCATATTTATTAAAATAATGTTAATTAGGCTGTATGATTGATACTTTACACATGTCTTAAACCATTCCATACAAGATGCTTTGTGAATGGATTTAATAGTCAGTAAAAAAATGGAAGTAAATCGAATGAAGTTTATAGCATCAGCAGCCCCAAGAAATTATAACAAAACCTCATAGGTACTGCAAAACCAAACTCACCCAAGCTTAGTTTCTGTTTCCTCAATAATTTTCTTCAGATCTTCTACATTGACTTCCACCTGAAATATAAAGAATTATACAAGTTAATATGAACAAATCTGTGGCATATCTTCACTAGACCAATTTTTTCATGGAGTATTTATAATTAGGCACATTAAATCAATTATAATCATATTTAATAGTTGTATGCAAATAATTATGCACATTGCTACCATTATATCAAATCACAATCATCTGCAAAAAATTGTCAAGTCCATTACTTACTATTTTACATTTTACAAATTGAAAAATATAATGATTAGAAAATAATGCTAACACTTCAACTAAAATATATTAATAATGTCACTCGTTTGCTTGAATCGAAAATTCACTAAAAACTTAGAAGCGAAGAAAAGTCCACAAAAATTCATAGAATCTTCAGAGATAACGTTTTGGAGTCCAGCTCCATCGTCAGTTTGACAATTCTAGAACACAGATAACTCAGTTATTAGTACAGTCAAGTACAACAAAAAAACTAAGCTGTAAAACCTACCTATTTACAATTTCAAGCGGGTAAGAGCTAAAAGCGAATTCAAACTAGGCCTCTGTTTAAAAATATACCATGATTCTAAAATGTGCAACTCAGAAACACTGCAACTGGAAACTAAAACTTTGAAGTCAATGTCAGAAACTGGAACATCGCACTGCTCGGTGTGAGCCGGCACAGCCAAATGACGGGGGGCGCGATAGTAAGTTACCAGTTCTACAAATCCTGCCCCTATGTTCAGCAACCCTAGAATAAAGTTTTTGTGAGATGTCATCCCAACGTATGCAGATGCACATCATGCACAACGATATTTATAAACTAGGGACACTTGCATATGCATAGGGAGAGTATCTTTTTACCTAAAAAAAGAACCGATTTTCAAATGGTTGACCAATATAAAATATAGATTAACATTTGCAAAATACTTAGAAAACAAGAGTTTTTACCTCCCTTGACATAGTTTTGGATGCAGGGCCAAAAAATGGAAGAAAGCAATAAACAACATCTCTACTGTCGCCCTTGGGAGCAACCTCATTAAGCCGCTTGGACATGAATTTCTTTATTTGGGTTAACACCAGATTAGTCGGAAATCCATTTAGCAAAATGATAATGCGTAAAAATTTGAATTGAGCGTGCAGAATATTGTAAGTAAAACAAATACAAAAGCCCCGATGTAAAAGTGTTTGAATCCCATTAATCTTAAATTGAAGCAAGCAAAAGCTAAAAAAGCTGATACTGAGACCTGTGAAAGTCAATTTTTGGAATACAGAAGTTTGAAAACGGCCATTAGATTTAGTAATATTGCAATTGAGGAAGGACAGGCTATTGTTGGATTCCAGTTCCATAGTAAATTTGATGGATTTATGTTGCAAATTTAGGTAAAAGAAAAAGAGTTCAACATGAGGATGCTTAAAAAGTACAAAAGTGTCATCAACATATCTGTGGTAGAATATTGGCTTAAAATCAAGAGGGCAATTGGACAGCCAGGAAACCTCGTGAAAACACATAAAAATGTTTGCAAAGGTTGGGCCGAGTGGAAGACCCATGCCCAAACAATCAATCTGTTGGTAAAACTTGTTAACAAATATAAAAAAAGAATTTAAAACGGATAATTCCAAAAGATATTTATAAAAAATTATGCTTCAAACCAATAACAAGGTCATTTACATCCTAAAACAAACAATTCAGGCATATATCTATGGTTTCATGAAGGGGCACATTTGTAAATAAATTTTCCACTTCATGGTGTTTACCCAAATAAAGAAATTCATGTCCAAGCAGTACAATGAGGTTGCTCCTGAGCATGACTGTATGGATGTTGTTTATTGCTCTCTTCCATATTTTGGCCCTGCATCTGAAACTATTTCAAGGGAGCTAAAACTTTTGTTTTCTAAGTATTTCACAAATGTTAATCTATGTGTTATATTGCTCAACCATTTTAAAATTGGTTCTTTTTTAGGTACAAAGATACTCTCCCTATGCATATGCAAGCATCCCTAGTTTATAAATATAGTTGTGCATGATGTGCATCTGCATACGTTGGGATGATGCCTCGCAATCTTTATTCTAGGGTCGCACAACATAGGGGCAATAGTTGTAGCACTGGTAACTTACTATCGCGCCCCCTCTTTCGGCAGTGCAGGCTCATGCCGAGCAGTGTGATGTTCTAGTTTCTGACAGTGACTGCAAAGTTTTAGCTTCCAGTTCCAGTGTTTCTGATTTGCGCATTTTAGAATCATTGCATATTTTTAAACCGAGGCCTAGTTTGAATTTACCTTTTAGCTCTTACCTGCTTTTGAAATTGTAAATAGGTAGGTTTTACAGCTTAGGTTTTTTTTTATTGTAATCTTGACTGCACTAATTACTGATTTATCTGTGTTCTAGAATTTTCAAACTGACGATGGAGCTGGACTCCAAAGCGTTTTCTTTAAAAATACTATGAATTTTTGTGTAGTTTTCTTTGCTTTCAAGTTTTTAGTAAAATATATTAGCCATATTCTAATTCAAATTCCTTAAAATAACCACTGCTATAAAACATATTGAAAAAATAGTTTTGGATGTTGTAAAATATATTCCAACATAAAAAATTATGTATATTTGAATGCAGTAAAATTTTCAAGTCAGTAACTTACTTTTTCAGGGTTGGCTTTAGCTTGACCTTGAGGTACCCAAGCTGAACAAGTGACAATGCTGACAGACATTTCTACTTGTTTTTTAAATGCTCTGAAACCAGAATTAGAATAAAATTACAAATATTCAAGATGATTGCATAGAAGAACTTAAGCAAAACATTTCATCATTCTTGTGGAATAAGCCAATTAATGGATTAGCTTCAGATGACAAATAATATTAAAGTGACCATTATAGGTATATATCATGAAATTTCCAATTTTGTAATGATGAACACAGGATTTACAAAAATTTTCTAAATTTTCTGGAGCAACTTTGACACCAAGCTGGAGGCATGAAATTTAACTCCTAACATCCTCTTTGAAGCAATATGATTTCTAATTTTGCACCCAACAAAGACAGAATGAGAAAGGAACCAAATGCTATGAACATCTATTCTACACATTGAAACAAATCTGCAATATCGGGCAGGTATTTTCAAATGTTGAGGGTAAAAACTATAATTTAACAGGAAATTTTACAAAATAGTAGGCAAAGCAGGCCATTTTACAATTTTTCCCATGAGAAAATATGGGAAAGGCCATACAAGGAGTGAATTTTATTGCCTCATTTGCAGGTGGCTCTGCCCAATTATCCAGAATGGCTCCTAATTGGCCAGGATTGGAAAAATCTTATCACTACAATGTATTTTGGTTTCAGTGGAAAAAGCACGCTTCCACAGAACAACCTGCACAATGACAGCACCCAAAACATATTATTGATGACTGTGTAGTTGATATCATGTAAGGCTGCAGAAAACTACAATGTTTCTTTGAGAAAACTTAAAAAAATACTTGATTACATGCCCACATATCAAGATGTAGGTTTTTGGGAAATTTACCCACACAAAAAAAAAGGCTTGTTGAAATCAATGGACAGCACAGTCCACAACTATCTCAATACCAGACAGTACCATACAGGATCATGCAGTTGCAGTATGGCTGTGCAGGAGCTGGCATTGGATGCCATAATGGTTCATAATATGCCTGCTTGCATTGCTACAAGGAACAAGGACACAATTGCATCATGGTGCAGCTAATGCTGCCAATGCTATTGGCAGGAGCAGGCTCGAACACAAATGCATTCACTTGCAAAGAAGGTACTTTGTTGTCACATGACATAAGCATGTTTGTGATCAAAGGCATGGGATATATCTATCTTTCAAGCTGCAATCAGAGCTCTTCTGCAGTTTTTAGGACCAGGAGATTCACTAGATGGATTACAACTTGTGTTACATCTTCCTGACCCAGGATCACATCCTTGAATGCTTCTTAAATGAAGAAAAATGTTCATGTTTCTACTTCAGTCTAAAATGAAATTTGAAATTATAACTGAGCATGACTGTTGGCCGGCAAATGAATTTGCAACTTGGTAAATGAGTTTGCAGCTTAAAAATGGCTCCTAATAACTTGTAAAATAGATTTGCAGTTCAAATAATTGTCTTATTCTCTTTTTTTTTCATGTTCAAGAATTCCTGGCTCTAAATTTACATTTATCCACCCTGGTAATTGGGTATGACATATATAAAAAATTTGTAGCAATTTTTAGTTATCGTTATATTTCATTGATACTTGTCCTGGCTGTACAGTAAGGCCTTTTAGCTTGAGATATTGCCATTTTTTCCAAGTTCTCCATCAGCCATCTTGACTGTAAATTTATGTCCATAATCAATCAAAAACTGTGAATCAAGCAATTCACAATGCCGGCTTGACGTGTACTCTCAAATGGGGTATTAAAAAACACTTTTTTTGTTGACCACTTTAGACCATAAAACATTTCATTAATGAGTTTGAGCTGATCTTAATGGTCTTTGCAAGGCTTATTGAAAGGCATCTCCAAATAATTAATTACATTATTCGTGAGGTGCCAGGCGCAAGAGAAAATTGTCCCAAATTACTCCTGGGAATATGGTAATTTGGGACACTTGAAATAAAACTCATGTTTGAAAATGTTTAAAGCATGCAGAGTGTACTCATCCATTACTAACAGTACTATAAATTCCTCTTCCTTTGTAGATGATGTTGATGTAGAGTAATGACATTTTCTATGATTTGTATTTTGTACTTGTTTTTCCATTATTTATAGAATAATATTATATCCATTTTAATATATTACTGTATACATACATTACCATATTATTGATATGATATTACCATATCCATGGACAGGCCATTGACAACAACCTTTTCTACTGAAAGTTTCATATCAGCAGCCATATAACATTTCCTCTGTATCTGTAAGCTTATGGGACTGGGCTTGTAATTTCACATCATTTTAATTGGGTCAAGTGAATTTACTATAATAAAAATATCATAAAACATACCTGCAAATAAAGGAATATTCAAGTGGCAACCATCATATTTTTTGAGAAATAAATCATAGTTTAGGTTTATTACCATTCATTCTATGTTGCCTGGTGCACAATTCTATCTATGACATTCTATGCAAAATTATGTGATGGTTAATAATGCATTAATTTTTTAAGTGACTTTTTTTGCTGAGCAAGGTAAATGTAATCAAATTCTTTGTCAATTGATTTTTTTTTTTTTGTTAAGTGGAGCCTTTGCTAACTGCTAACTAACTCGCGAGTTGGGATTGGAAGCATCAAGGTTTGGTTTTTTAATAGAGGCATAATGTAAGCCGATTTGAAGTTCATCATAACAACACCATCAGTGAGGCAGTGGTTGAAAAGTTCAAACATAAAAAGTACTAGGGTTACAACATTCTCTTTAAGAAACAACGTAGGCAGCAGATCGCTGGAACACTGCTTGTTGGGCAGCGAGCGCACTGCAGCAATGACATAGTCGGATGTGATGCTGCTGGCGCAAGTGAATTATTGGAGAGCAGTCAAATGGGCATGGGACAAATGCTGCTGGCGGAGCATTGGCCGCCATTGCTGGCACAGCAGAAATTTTGTCTCCAAAAACCAAATGGAGTTACTATTCTCATTTACTATAAGACAACTTCCATGATATTAACAATAAAATATTGCCAGCCCATTTAAGAAAAGACCTAGTTGCATAGCTATTTTTGCTGTCAAGCTCATTTCATAAAAGTTAGATTTATAACTTATTCATGATTGAACTAAACAAAATTATGCATAAAAAATACCCACAAGATGATAAAAAATAATAGTAACATAATACATAAAACCAAAACAATACCAATAGTATGCACTATACAATATGCATTGTTATACATAGGTGACAAAAGAATGTTGATAGAAAATATAAATAGTCTGTAGTCTGTACTTAGTAATGTAAACAAAAGGGAGTGCAGCCTCCTGGGTCATACTTTCAAAACTTGATAAGTGAACATGAGCACTTATGCTCTATTTTCTTGTCTATGATTGGTGGATTTGGCTTGAAAGGCCGTCAATGATTGGCAGATGAACTTACAATCTCTCAACTTTTTTGAAAGTATAGGCCCTGCTCTCCACATGCAGTGACTTGTTGAGTGTTTGTTTGAACTGTAGGTGCATTGCTAATTTTTCCATTTAGATCTTGAACCTTGCCTAAAAGTGCAGTGTGAAGCAATCACATTTATATTTTAAAGTAAAGTGAGAAACTGAGTTTTCTTGGTTAGTAAAGTTGATAAGATTGGTTTGTAAGGATGCCACTCATGTCTTTATTACTCATCAGTAACACCTGTAGCACAACTTAGAAGTAACATATTTCATTTGTTAAAATAAAATTTTCTTGCATTTTTACACCTGAAACTGTCTATATTTTGGTATTATGGAATAATTTATTATTTAAGGGGAGCATCTGGGCAAAATTTTATTTCAGTTATTTACAGACTGATCACTTTAAAACTTGGTACAGATATGTAAAACAGAAAAATAAACAGTTTTTATTCCTGTCAATTTTTCAGAAAAAATGAAAAAAAATGAAATTCTTGGAAAACGGCCTAGAAGGGAGTACTGTATGAAACTATCTCCTCCTAGGATTTTCAAGCTACAACATTGAGATGCATATCTTTATTTGATGCATAAAGACCATTTGTTTAGATTGGTTGTAGCTTTTTTTGAAATTCTAATTTTTGTGGGTGGGGGTGAATTTAATTCTAATTTTTGTAAATTTTTCTATTTACCCCCCCCCCCACCCCATTTTTTCAGAATATTTTCAAAACTAATTCAATTGAAAAAAGCTACAACCATCCTCTAGATCTTTTATTTGTGAATTGAATGGTATATCTCTCAATACTGTAGCGTCAGGAGGAGCATCAACTGTAGAAGGAGATAGCTTCCCAGTGACAATAAGTGCCATGTTCGGTAGAGCGTGACAAAGCCATGAGCACCCCACATCGCGCTATATAAAGGCATTTAAGGTGCAAGGATACCAGACAAAACAATACTTGAGCTGAAATTCAGGCACAGATGGAGGGAATGACTGCATGAGCACCTTCCCACATGACAGCTGCCAGGTAACTGACAGGCAGCATTGAAAGACAGTAGTATTATGTGCCTGGCCATGAATTTCCACTTATCTAAAATGTGAAAGAGCTCCACAACACCTAACCCTTTAGCGGTCTGCCGTGAATGCAAAAATCAACGTACCAGAGATGATTTTGGTACCAATGGATAGGTCAGAATGTCAGCTTTAAGATGAGCATAAAAATAGGAAATATCAAAATTACCGTAAAATGGGGTAACTTAGACCGGCGGGGTAACTTAGACCACTTTTCATTTTTTTAACAAAAACCCCCACAGCTCAAAAACTATTTGACATAGAAAAATTTTGTCAATGGGCATTAAAGGCCTAATACTGAGGCAACATAACATAATAGAAAGATTTGAAAAGTTTGCATATCTAATAGGTTAAAAAATTAAAAATGTGACCCACAAAAAAAAGCTATTATTTAAAGCCTGTCAGAGTACCCCCTCAAATTTTTTTATTTTTTGGTTAAATAACTCCAGGTTTTGATGCATTGTAGTAGAACTCTTCTAGTTAAAAAAAAGTGGTCTAAGTTACCCCATTTTACGGTAGCGATTTTTATCCAGATGCTCTCCTTAAACTTTCACTTGTCGTTAAACAGTGGTATAAATACCTAAA